AATCAAATGTACCGATTTTATTCTCTCGTTTTCTTTTTATGATTCAAACAATTAATCATGGAAATGCTTTTATGTCAACATATGAAACAAATTATCAATATATTTCTTTATTACCTAAAGATGTAACTTATGCATATACAGAATCAATGATTTATGATGATAATTGTTCATGCGGTTTATATTCAAATTGTACAACACAAGCAAGTTTTATTGAACACAATTCATCAAAAACGATGCCAATTCAAGGTTTAAAAATGGGTTGTTTGCCAAGTGAATCATTTCATTTTTCAACTCTTGAATGTTTTTATAATCAATCATGTCTTAATCTTCTTTATCAATATACAAATTATGAAAATTCTTCAAATCCTATTTTAATCATATCGGATGATTTTCCATTAAATATGACAATTAATCAATTAATCAATTATTCATTTACTGGTAAATGGTTAATACAACCAAATTACTTATCGTATTATTATCAATGTTTACCTTCAATATGTTCATATACTTACATCGAAAAATTTAATTTATTGTATATCATTACTCTTTTTCTTAGTCTTCAAGGTGGTTTAACATTAGTTCTTACATGGATTTCTCCAAAATTAATTCGAATTCTAGCAAAAACATATAATTATTATCGAAAAAAACAAAGAATACTAGTTCATCCTGACACTTCTCTTGCAATTCAATCAAATAATATGAATGTTCAAACATCAGAGTAAATCACTTATCGTTTTCTTTATTATTTTAATTTGAAATTTTAGATCTATTATTATTTCATCAATTCGACGTTCTTCGAAGAAAATTTGCGTAACTATCTCATTAGTATTGTTACTCATAGGTATTATTATCTTTTCAATTTATTATGCTCGAAATGGTACGAATATTATATTTTTAGTGAAATAATTAATAAAATATTTGTTTCTCTAAATAGTTTCCGTATTGAATAAAACAACAGATACGAATTTGAATATAACAACAACACCAATATCAATAGTTTCAACTACATCAGGTTACATTTTTTTGTTTGACTGATTTCTTATTGAAATACAAAATAAACTTTCTTCTTAGAATTGTTTTATCAACATAAGTTTCAATATATATCCACCAATCTTTCTTGCTTTGAACTTCATTATATTCCTTTCCATCCGGTCACTGGTGACTTCAACAATGATAATCTAGTGGATCTTGTATATTCTTGTAGACATAGTCCAAATGAGAAAATATTTATATTATTGAATGATGGAAATGGAAGATTTCAAAATTCATTTATAGTATCATTACCAAAATTTCACTCAATTAAATTTATTGGTATAGCTAATTTTAATAATGATAATCGATCTGACATACTTGTCACATACAATGATGAATCGCAAAGTGAATTCACAATTTTATTGGGAAATGGGAATGGTACATTCTATGAAAATTCACAAGTATTGCCGTTGAAAAATTTTCCTATAAACGAAATTTATCTTGCTGATTTTAATAATGATAATCAAGTTGATGTACTTTTAACACCAAATATTCTAACAACAAAAAATCTGCTTGTTTTATTAGGAAATGGAAATGGAACATTTCAATTAGAAATGATGTTATCATCTATAATATTTAGTGATCGAATACAAAATGTGTATATAAAAGATCTGAATAATGATAACATATTGGATATTATTGTTAATTTTGGATGGGATAAAAATATTGGTGTTATGTTCGGCCAAGGAAACGGATTATTTTCATTAGAACATTTATTATTTACAGAAAAGATGATTTACTCATGGAAAATGGCTGCTGATAATATAAATAATGATCATTATCTTGATATTGTTTTATTTGATGAAGATTCTAAACATATTTATGTTTTATTTGGAAGTGAAAATGGAACGTTTCAAGCGCAAAAACCATTTTTTACTACTATAATCAATTTCTATTATTTTCTGGTGATTGATGATTTTAATAATGATAATCAATCTGATATTGCTTTTTTTTATCAATTAATCGAATTTGAATGTATGATTTATCATTATTATAATAATACTTTTAAAAGAAATGAAAAAATCAATTTGAAATTAAGTGGAGAATTGGATACAGTTCTTGTAAATGATATAAATAATGATAATTATTTAGATATTGTACTTGGTACTACAAGCCCTTATAGTATTTATGTTTTATTTCGATATGAAAATCATCGTTTTTATCTACAGATGATTTATTCAAGTGACTATGAAGCTACTCCATATTGGTTTTCTCTTCTTGATTTTAATAACGATAATCATACAGATATAATCAGTTTTAATGATGAATCTATGACTATTGATGTGTTTTTAAATGAACATTAATGTTTGATTGACTGATAATATTTGGAGTGTGTATATTTTATGAGATATATAACTATCATAATCGATTTCGAATCTGTTAGAGTTCATTCTCAAATGGTATAAAACTGAAATAAGATTAAAAAACACTATTTCAGTGTGAAAAACATCAAAATAATAGCATTAAATCAAAATCAATTGAGATGACTGAAAAATCTTCAAAAGAGCAGTCGCTTACTGTATAGCTTGTTTGAAGGCAGAGATCAGATGAAATGTGTATGTTGTTGAACGTAGAGATGTTGTGATGAATAATTGTTGAGGATCTGAGTGTATGATAGATTGGAAGGTTCGTGTGTTGATGTATATTGCCGTTGGTACTTGATGGAGTTATATTCAAATTTGTATCTGTTGTTTTATTCAATACGGAAACTATTTAGAGAAAGAAATATTTTAATAATTATTTCATAAATAAAATAAAATTCGTACCATTTCGAACATAATAAATTGAAAAGATAATAGAACCTATGAGTAACAATACTAATGAGATAGTTACGAAAATTTTCTTCGAAGAACGTCGAATTGATGAAATAATAATAGATCTAAAATGTCAGATTAAAATAATAAAGAAAAAGATAAGTCATTTACTCTGATGTTTGAACATTCATATTATTTGATTGAATTGCAAGAGAATTGTCAGGATGAACTAATATTCTTTGTTTTTTTCGATAATAATGATATATTTTTGATAGAATTCGAATTATTTTTGGAGAAATCCATGTAAGAACTAATGTTAAACCACCTTGAAGACTAAGAAAAAGAGTAATGATATACAATAAATTAAATTTTTCGATGTAAGTATATGAACATATTGAAGGTAAACATTGATAATAATACGATAAATAATTTGGTTGTATTAACCATTTACCAGTAAATGAATAATTAATTAATTGATTAATTGTCATATTTAATGGAAAATCATCCGATATGATTAAAAGAGGATTTGAAGAATTTTCATAATTTGTATAGTGATAAAGAAGTTTAAGACATGATTGATTATAAAAACATTCAAGAGTTGAAAAATGAAATGATTCACTTGGTAAACAACCCATTTTTAAACCTTGAATTGGTATCGTTTTTGATGAATTCTTTTCAATAAAACTTGCTTGTGTTGTACAATTTGAATATAAACCACATGAACAGTTATCATCATAAATCATTGATTCTGTATATGCATAACTTAGATCATCTATAGGTAATAAAGAAATATATTGATAATTTGTTTCATATGTTGATATAAAAGCATTTCCATGATTAATTGTTTGAATCATAAAAAGAAAACGAGAGAATAAAATCGGTACATTTGATTTACTTTGTTCAATTAAAATTTCAATACGATGATAAAAGTCTTCTTCAGGCAGAATTTCAACAGTAACAAATAATGATGTAAGAAATTCATTAATAGTATTAGTAACTGATTTATTTGAGAGTTGACATAAACCTTGAAGATATTGTAAATGAGAAGAAAGAAATCGACGATAATCATTTTGTGAATAGACGGAGAAATTCGAAGATATACCATTTGTTATATTAATAATCCATTCTTTCGATACAAATTCACTTGAACAAATCTAGAAATAAATTTAAATCAATTTTATAAACATATTAACAAATGTACGATTATCTTACAGGATGAAACATTGGTATAATTTTAATAAATTTATTATATGTTGATGCTATTCGTGAACATGAACATTTTAATTCATCTCCATAAATTTTTCGTAATTTTTCGTAATAAGATATAATTAATGGTTGTTTAAATGTTTTTGTTATACTACGTGGTTGAATAATTGTATAGAATATAAGAATTGTTAGACTACTAAGAAATAATATAAAATAAAGACGAGTTGCCCATCGACCATATTTTTTAGCTGTTAATTTATTAATATTTCTTCCAAAATCACGTAAGGAAAAGATATTTAATTCAATTAATGTTGTTAATAAAATTCTTAGTGCATTTTGTATTATGATTTTCATTCGATTGAAACAATTTTGATGAACTAAAAAGGCATAAAATACGATGAACACTGTAAAAAAAAGATTTAATCTCAAATTTACTTTGGTCTCTTTGTTGCTGTTGTTGATTGTTGTTTTTAAATTTTGTTAATAGTTTAAGAATCAATTCAACTAGATGAGGTGTAACAATTCGTAAAGAAAGTATAACACCACCAACCATTGATATTAAAGTTATGACTACGCCAAGAAAATTTTGTTTTTGCATTTTTCGAGAATAAGTACAATAAGTAGGTGAACATGATTCATAAAATAATCGATAAGATATGGATGGATTCCACTGTTCAATCATTATTTCTTTAAATATAACTGAAACATTTTCATATAGAGAAAATCGAGTCGTCATTGGATCGTAATTCAATGGACCAAAATCAAATAATAAAGATGGATTACGATCAGCATCATTAGCAAACATTTCGTAAAAAGAAGATAGTAAAAATGAAAAACAATCTGATTCTTTATACAAACATTGAAGTGATGAAGAAAGAAGAGAATCAATAGCAAGACATCGTCGATTCGAACCTGGTACGTATTGCATCCGATCTTTATGAATATTGAAACCGGTGTTAAACACAACAGCGACTGTCTCACAATACGGATTTATGGCACAATTACATTTAATCATTGTTGAATTGACTAATGGAATTTCATTTAACACAAAATGAAGCTAAAAATAGAATTACAAAACAGAGGATAATAAAGGTTACATAGAACTATCATTAACAGTATCAGTTTCTATGATTTATACACACATATATATATAAGAAAACAATATAACATACTTTGACTGGATGAATAGAATTTTCATCAGCTGTAATAACATCACTTATTAAATTGACGTCATCAATCCTCCCGTAAAGTACCTTCGATGATTCTAGATAAAACTGATCAATCTGCATTAATAATTGTAAAACATTTGTCATTAAATCAAAATGATAAATTGTTGATTGATAAAATTGATTAAGACTTATATTAATTTGTTTATTAAATTCCGTTTCATTCATTACAGAAGAAACAATAAATAATTGAGAATAATATCGAATAATGGCTTCATCGATTGTCTTATGAGCTAAATGACAAAAATCAGACAGAAATTGAAAGTGTAAGAACGCTTGAGTACGCCAATCATTAGCAAAGTAAAATTTCCGTCGATTTCTTAATATATTAATCCATTGAGTATCAATGAAAAGGCTCGAACATATTTGATGAAAACGTGGTGATAAATATAGGAATTTTTTATGAGATATCGCTTGGTTTGAACATGGACATTGAAGTGAATCAGAATATAACATTTCTAAAGAACTATAAGTTTCCATTGATAATTTTGTTATAGTTATTATCATAGATTCACTATCAAATGATGTATATAAACAAATAGTACATATTGAACCTATAGTATTTAAAGAAAATAAAATGTACTCAAAAGATTTTTCAATTTACTAATTAATAAAAATAAATAGACACGTGTGATCATTTTCTGTTTTTCAATATTTTGTTCTGTTCGATTGTTGACATTCTTAAATAAATTTAATCTTTTTATTGTTTGAGTAAATTTGAACTTATTGTTTCTTTGATTTACTAAAACAATGAAATAAATATTAATATTAAATGCAAATAAAAACATTACTTTTGAAATTTTCATGGCTTTTTTTCGAGAAACATTTCCATTTGAATATAATATCAATAGAAAATGATGCAATAAGACGAAGTATGAGAACAAGACCACCATAAAGACTAATGAAAAATGTAATTACATAAAGTAGTTCTGTTCGTTCTATTTTTGAATATGTACATTTTGTTGGAGAACAAAGATGAAAATATTTTGTATAATTAATTGATAGTGACCAATTTGTAATGAAAAGATTATTTAAATATTCATTAACAGATATATTTCTATCTTCTGAAAATAAAGTTGAATTCTCTGGATCGAAATTGATCTAAAAAGAATAGAAGGATAGACAGAAAGCTTTTTTAGATTTATTTTATACAAACTTCTGTTAATTTTGGAAAATATTCGAGTAATACTTGAAGACATTCAATTTCGTAAAGACAATCTAATGTACTTTTAAGAAGTGCTTCAAGAGGAGTACATCCTGTAAAAAATCCATTGACAATACTAGAATTAGGCATAGGAAACATTTGATATCTTCGAGAATAATAAATTGATTGATAGGGTAATGGATTGAGAGTAGCATCAATTATTAATATGTTATGATTGCATGTTGGACCAGATGTATCATTAGTCGGATATTCTATTTCGTGTCCTATAAAAAGGGCACGGTCATTTGTGTTACCCATTACTTCAATTATAAAGTTTGTATTCAGAGCTGAAACAAAATAGTGTTTATCACTTGTATTTCTTATATAATTTAGAAACGTTATCATTCCAGAAGCTGCATTATTCTTCAAATATTCAATTGTTCCATTAGTTTGAATTTGAAATTGTTCATGAGAAAGAAGATGAAAAGTAATAAGTTCACTATTAGCAATATCAATTTGAATTTGATCAATGATTTCTTTTGAAAATAAACAAAATTTCGATAAAAGATTAAACTAAAAAATGTATATGCTCATATATATATAATATTAAAAAAATCTGTTTTACTTGTGAATATGCTGTTGTTCGAAAATCCCAAACTCCATATTGACTTGCTTCTTTAAAATATAATGCTCTTATCCATTCTGAATCGACGAAAATACTTGAACAAACAGAATGTATTTGTATATGAAATGATGTAAAATTTTGATAAGGTACTGCTATTGTTGAACATGGACATGAAAGTGTTTGATTATAGTGAGAATAAAGTTTAGTATATTTATCAAATGATATATCCGGTATAGTAACTGTTGTTGATTGTGTTTTTATTAAATTTATATAAAATAAAATATAGAAACAAACTAAAATAAAAATATTATCAAATAATTATTTCATTTTAAGACGTAAAATAAAAGACTAATGAAAATTTACTTGTAAAAAGAATAATATATAACCAAGTTTTATATTTTTGATGTCTAAGAATAATAGTTGGATTTTCATTATTGTCATTATCATCATATTCATTGTCTTTTAAGACAAAAAGATTGTAATTGATTACTTTTTGATAAAGACTTGTTGCTAAAAATTTCAATTTCATTATTGAATAAATGAATATTTTGTTAGAAGAACATAAATTGTTACTAAAACTTGAATAGACAAGTGAAACCTTTTTTCTAAACGTATAACTAAAAGAATAATAAAATCTATGATTTTTCTACTATCAGATGTTCTGGCTTCTCTATTAGCTCTTTAAATAGAGGACTTCCTTTCAATATTTTATACTTTTATCATTATTAAAGAATGCTCTAAATAGGAGAGAAGTAGATGATATTAGCATATTCTTTTGTTTTGTAAATGTTGGTTTCGTATGTTCAATTATTTAAAATCATGTTTTTGTAATTATTATAAAATGCACTGCTACTACATAGTTCATCAGAAAAGAATAAGGACAAAAGTATTTTCTATAAGAACTAATGTTTCTTTTTTCTAACTTTTTTGTCTATCAATCAGAAATTATATAACTGCACTTTTTCCAGCTGTATTACTTAATAGAAATGAAAGAATTCTGTATCATTTTACAAAACCTGATCAAAAATACTTACTGATAATAAAGTGTTGCGTTGTAGAATAGAAAAATAAAATATAATCTATATACATATATATGTTGCAGGGGAAATTGGAATCTAGGGCGATTTAGAATTGCCCTAGGGGAAATTGGAATAAATTCCTCAATAACATTACTTCTTCTGGGCAACGAGAGTAGAGAGTATATTTCTAAAGCAATTAGTACATGTGTTTCATTAAGTTTTCAAACTAATATCTTTCTAGAAAAGCTAACGAGACTAGAAAAACAACGCTCTACTTGAACTGTAACAAATATTGTTATTTGCTCTGGCATTATCAAACATTAGCACAGGAATCTTTTTTCCGTGGATGACGCTTCGTGCAGCACTTGACACCTTTAATCTTACATGGGCAAGCTTTTGTGGCACATTTTCCTGAACAGTTGCACGCTTCTGCAAGATTAAGCGCACCAACTGAAATATATTCTTTACATGCTTGAATGAATGTCATCGTCGGTAACGTCGTTGGTTCCACAGCACGTAAGTCTGCAAAATCACATTTAGTTAGATCCAATAGATCTTGTACACCATAAGATATTGATAGAACGCCCCGCAACGTGTATAATTGATATAACAGATCATTATTAGAAGAGGAACGAACTGACACAACTTTGCAGGGAAGAATTTTTGGCATTGTATTCGTTCGATCCACACGGTCGATTTTGAGGCCAACGAGATCTCCTTTCTGATACTATTTTTGTTTCATGGCTTTATCATAGATCTTTTGTCGCTTGGCAATCGCTTTCATATAATCAGCTTCTGCTGCAGCTCGAATTCGTTTATGTTTGTTTTCATCTATATTAGTATCCGGAACTTGAGTACCATTTTCGTTAATCACACAGCAAACATCTGAAGAATGGATTAATGAAGCCACCAGAATATTTAGATATTCTCCTTGTATAATTCTTTCTGCTAACCTTCAACAGTTCCATAGCTGTCGGAATCAGAATGCGAATGAATTGATTCACAACACACTGTCGCGACTATAGCATTAAGAGCAGAACTAGCAGCAGTACTGACCGAACACGAATCTGTTTCTGGTGGTTGAAGTTGAGGCGTTTCATCATTTGAATGAGAGTTGTTTGTCAGACAGTCCCTGCTAGGATTATGTGTCACTCCAGTTGTAATTGGACTATTCGTAGATTGAACAGCTAGACACAAAAAGGAGGAATAAATTGCAGAGAGGCGAACAATAACACCAAACTCACATTGATTCAATGACTAAACGAAATCAACGGGAAGATTCTCTTCATCCTCTACTCCTGCTTTACACAACTTTTTCCACATTTCGAAATCGGATCGTGGAAGCTGTCCAAAAACAACTTCGTATGGAGTTTTTTTCGTGGTATGAGTAGTGCTGGTGTTAATCCCGTGCGTTACAGGACCTAAACCTAAACAGGGTATGTCAGATATAAATTATTTATGTGTGGGATGCATAAATGAATGCTCACCCTTCAACCACTTTCCCAAAGCCACCTCGAGCGTTTGGTTACCGCGCTCAATAAGTCCTTGGGTCTCTGGATGGCGAGCTCTCGCGTTGATTATGACTAAATCTACCCAAGTATTTTTCAAGTCCTACGAGAAACAGAAATAAATATGGTGACATCTGAGGACCGTAAACAACATCTCACTTTTATCCCTTTCGCTACGAACTCTTTGCCATTGTCCGATTGAAGAATACGCGGTGGGCCAAAAGAATAGAACTGCTCTAGTAATTTTTCAGCAACCGGTTCCGCTTCCTTCGTTCGTAAAGGATACGTCCGTGAAAATTTACTAAAATGATCTTTAGCATGTAAGATCCATTTGTATTCGCCATCTGGTCGACATCTCATATCTATTAGATGGATCTGGACACGGGTTAAGTATCCTATTGATACAATAGGTTTACCTGAATAACAATCCATAACCAAGATGAAGAAACAACTTTACTACACTTACTAGCAGGAAACTTTGTGAAGATCTGTCGATTACTACACGCATCGCATAATTTGATAAACATGATTACGACATCATAGGGAATCCAAGAATATTGAGATTTAATCTAAAAATCACATAAAACAATCGCCTGAAAAGAAATCCTTTACATTTTACGTACTTCACTCCATGTTTTGTCCCTCCCGTGATGGCCGACACGCTTGTGACATTCATTCAGTTTAACATAAAGTTCTTCATATGTAACTACAGGCCGACTACCTTTGCCCTTGTTGTAGATGACATTCGCATCTCCAATTTTGACCAACACGAAGTTCTTTTGAGCCCAAAATTTAAACTTTCCCTCTCCCCAACTATCGCGCAGTACTAAAATAATATCTTCGTACATGCTCTTTGTGACTAAGTATTTCGCACGAAACTTTTCATTTAGACTTTTAATATGTGCGTCGAGATGTTCATAAAAAGTGTCGATGTTGCACGCGGTATATCAGGCGAGAGTGGTTATGTGAACGATTTTTTCTATTTACTTCGAATAGTTCTCTCTCCAAACGCTATTGCGCCTATTCTTTTCCTCTCTCTCTCGTTGTCCAGAAAAGGTAATGTTATTGAGGAATTTATTCCAATTTCCCCTTAGGGAAAACTGGAATCAACGTTACTGGTACAGAGAGGAACGAAAAAGAAAAGCAACAAAGTGACGTTCTAGACTAGCGAAAACTTTCCACATTATAGAGCACATCATCATACACATCGAACCACAGAAACGCATATAAAACTGTATCATTTTGTAGCGCATGAAAAGCCCTATCGATCTGTATACAGGAAACACTATCGTCAAGTGTTTTTATGTACCGTTAAAAGAGAAATCCCTATGATATACCTCGTGATATACACATAGACACTATTCAGTCATCATTAGTTCGCCCTATATATACTTTTTCGTGATGGTTCATTTGTGATTTTGTGCAGAATTTTCTGCTCTTTCGAATGAAACTATTGGATAGATGATACGAAAGAATTTTTGTTACGATATCTCTGAACAGACACTAGCATAATAGGGTAAAAAATGAGTGAAAATCTTTCATATGATTTCAGATTGACTTGAATTTGGTGTAGAAAGATTCTCCGTCTCATTCTGGATCGTTTTTGGTATTTACCAAGCTGATTTTGAAATGGGTCGATTTACGGTCTTGTACGCCCCCTTCCTTTGATAGAAAAAAAAACAAAATCTCCATTGCTTGTCATCCATTTTGCGCATCGGATTCATTTGCATCACTTGCAATCGTGCAAATCTCTTGTATAATTAGAACTTCTTTATCCCTTCATTGATTGTTTTTGAAATATAAGCGTAAATTTTCTTTTCAATTTCACTGTAGCTACTATTTTTTTTTGTTTTACTTTACTTGCTTACACTCCTTTGTACTCAATATTCACTTATTTTTATGTTAATTGAATCTATACAGATTTATTTCTTTTCTTTTGTGTAGTTGTTCATTATATCATAAATGCATCTTTATTTCATTGAAAAACAATTAAATAAACTTTATAGTGGAAAGTATGTTCGCTTAAGTGAAATAAAGGAAATCAATAAAAAATTGATTATATACTGATTTTTTTAGTCAAGGATAATGTGAGTCACTCTCGAAGAACGTTATTTATATTTGTTTGGCTGATAAATATGAAGCAAGATAAGGCTTTTCTGGCCATGAATGTTCGATACAAGAAAAAGCAAACGCTAACGTGAGCAGGTTTGAAAACCAGCAAAAAATGGCTTCTTTCACAAAAAACAATGCCTCACTCTTTACCATTTCATTTTATATTCTTCCAAACAATATTTCTGGACTCAATTTGATACAAGGAACTCGGATATCACATTGAAAACAAGGATAAAACGAAATGAGAAAGAGTGGAGCATTGTTTTTCTAAACAAAGGCATTTTCGCTAGTTTCCAGATCTTCTCAGTATTTTACGTTTTTCCCAGACAAACTTTGTCAAATCAAAAAAATAAGATCAAATCCGTGTTCAGCAGAAAAATTAAATCAAATAATGTGTGTTTTTTAGCAGATGTCTTGGGTAACACATTTGTGCATTGAGATTCATCATGATGAAAAACTATTTTGTGATTGAGTTATGTAAGAACAGAAGTGATATCTGATGGGTGAATATTAGCATCGTGTAATAGTTTTGTGAATGCTGAATTTGGATTTGCAGCTAAACGATTTGGTTGATCATATTCTTGGATATAACCATTGGATAAAACAATAATTCTTGATAAATTAAATGAGTCAGTCATAATGAAACAGAAAGAAAAAGAAAAAAAGTATATACTTAGTACTATCTAAAATTGTATGTAATCGATGAGCAATTGTTATAACAGTTGCATTTTTTAACGCTGATCGAATTGTCAATTGAATAAGTCGATCTGTTTCCATATCAATCGCTGAAAGAAAAGAGAAAACTAATAACAAAAGCAATCTATGTTGAACTAATCGATATACCAGCAGTTGCTTCATCAAGTATAAATATTTTACTTTTCCTCAAAATAGCTCGAGCTAAACATAATAGTTGTCTTTCACCAGCACTAAAAACACAAATGATCTTTTATCATCCGCACAAATCGTTTAACTATACCTCATGTTTTGACCACCTTCTGCTAACATATATGATAAATCATTTCCCCTTTTGATCAAACAATCTTTCAAGTGTACTAATTCCACCGCTGACCAAATTTCTGTATCACTGTAATGACCAAATGGATCAAGATTGAATCTTATACTACCAGCAAAAATAACCGCATCCTATCGAATTATCTTGTTATAATCTGATCGAAATTTAACAAAGAAAAACGTTACTTGTGGGACAATAGTGATCTTTGATCGTAAATCATGTAAACCAATTGTACTAATGTCGACATTATCAATGACTATTGAGCCACTGGTCGGTTCAATAATACGTAATAATGCTAAACATAAACTACTTTTTCCGCTACCCGTCCGACCGATGATTCCAATCTAATAAATTTGATTTCATTATTATCAATTCAACGTGATAATGTTTACCTTATCTCCATGTTCAATATTCACGTTTATATCCTTCAATACCAATTCCAATTGTTCTCGATATTGCGTGGACAATTGTTTTNTTTTTCTGTTTTTCTGTAGAAGTTAGAATACTGTATAAAAGAGGGCGCCATCAAACAGTGCAGAGAACGCTCCTCCTCAAATGTTTTCTGCAAACAATATGGTGATAAAGGAATAAAGATTTAAAAAGTAAAAGTGATAATGTATCATTGTTCAAAGTTTGATTTTGTACAATTAACATTTCCTGTGGAGAAAATCACCAATATTATGAGCACAGCTTATAATCTCGATGATGATATTTCTTTCATTTCTAACGATGGCCCTCATGGTACGTCAAACTCCTTTCGAACTCAAGAGCAGAATAATCGGAATTCAGCTCCGATAAGTTCAACAATCGACTTGAAATCTCCATCGACTCGTGTACGAAATTCTTCAAATTCTCCTTCGTTTGATGCGTGCAGTGATTCTAATTTCACTCGAGGACGTGCTCAAAGTGATTCTAATCCTTCTATCAATCATTACACCGTGGAGCAACTAAAACAATTTTTATTGAAAAAGAATCCAAACTATCGTCTTTCAAAGAACAATTCTACAAAATCATCATCAATTTGGTGGCGTGCTTTTGGATTTATATCCACTCTCAACGAGAATAAAGAATTCGAACAAATACCTGGATTCATTAGCTGTTTAAAATGTTATAATACATTTCGGTACAGCTTTAATAGCGGTACTAAACATTTTGTTGATCATGCAAATAAATGTTTTCCTTTCGCTACTAAAAATACGGTCGTGGCTGCTGACGCAAATGAATCAAAATTTGTTCAATACAAATTGGAACAAGTTGGCGTTCAACGAAAAGTTCAATTAACGGCTAAAGATCAACAACGACTAAAAGAGATTTGTGCCAAATGGATTTGTTGTGATATGAGACCTTTCACTATCGTCGAAGATGATGGATTTCAAAACTTAGCGAATATGTTAATCAAAATAGGTCAGAAAGATTTCTCTTCTATCAATATATCTTTTCGAACATTTTTCTTGGTTATTTAGGATCTCAATACGGTTCAATCGATGCAAAGAATGTTATCCCAAGTCGCCATACAGTAAATCGTACCGTTCATGATCTTGCAGATAAAATCCGAGATAGTTTAAAGCAAGAATTAATCGAACCATTACGTACGAAAGCAGTTACGATTGCGCCGGATTTTTGGCAAAGCAAGTATAGCCAACAACACTATCTAGGTCTTAATGTCTCTTATGTCAATGTCAATTATCAATTTAAAGCTATTGATTTATTTTGTCGACCGTTTAATGGCACTAAATCGTACGACTTAATTCTTGACGTAAGCAATGAATCGTCCTTCTGTGACGATTTTTAACATCGATTTTCAAAGCGTTCATTATCTCTTTGTATTTTCTAGTTTCTCAACATCCAGTTAGCGGAATTTGGAATCAATTTAACTGATGTCAATATTATTACCGATCGAGGAGCAAATTTCCTCAAGGCATTTTCTAAACACGACCCAATTTGTTGTTTCGGTCACCGTTTGAACAATGTCTTGAAAATTTGCTTTTTTTATCAGCAATCGAAGAGGAAAACTAACAAATCACCACCAAAAGAAGTTTTCTCATCAACTACATTAATATTACCAAACGATTGTTCAGGAGTCGAAAAGGACGAATTATCGAGCTCTTCAGACTCCGATTCATCAGGTGACGAAGAAAATCAAAGAGAAAACTATCCACCTGAACAGTCATCACTTGTTATACCTTGACGAAAGAAAAACTCATCGACGACGCAATGTGCACGAAAAACGACATCTCAGGCTATTCCATCAGAAGCGAAACAAGTTTTATTCGTACTGAAACAAGCAAAAAAGCTTGTCAAATACGCGAAATTAGTGAGTATAAAGCATATGCCGTATTAGAGAATTTCGTTTGTTCCGTGTCCCAAGTAACATCTGCGATTTTTAGACGGGTTTAAATCAAGAAATAAAAGATAACGGTGGAATAACTCTTCATCAAGCTACCGTTGTTAGGTGGTTGTCGTTATCAAATTTGTTGGAATCACTTATAAAATCATTCAAAATTGTGCGAAAATTGTTATTTGACAAGGATAAACAATTATTGATCACAGATATAAATCTTCAGTGTTTGAAACAATTGTGCCTTATTTTGAAACCTTTTAAACAGATCGTTACGTCTATCCAAATTGGGAATGCACCTTCACTTTATTTTGTTCCAATGTATTACATTACTTTGAAAGAAGTATTACAATCTTTTGACGCAGTGAAGGAATATGTCAATGAAAATATTGAAGATGTAGGAGATCATGACAGTTCGTTTAAGATTGACAAAGATGATGACTTCGAACATGAGCTACCAGGTACACATATTTTCAGTATTATTCATTTTGACTGTAATTCTATTTATTTTATTAGGAATCAGATGGTTCCGCGAGAGACTTCTTTCATTATTAAATGAAATGGTTGTTCTGGATATTCGTCAAGTAACTGCAATGCTCTTACATCCGCGTTATCGGTCACTCAAGAAGATCCCTGATCATGTAAAAGATCAATGTTACAAATATGTTCGACAACAAGTTTGGGAGTTACGTGAAAAAGGAAAGCTCGAAGAAGAAAATCAGAAAGATCTATTGGAACCACCGGAAAAGAAACAAAGGAAGGAGAAGAATATACTGAGTCGATTTGAATCTGGTAATCTTAATGAAGAAACAACTGTTCGAACTGGAAGCGGTGATGAAAGTGACGAGTATGAATATAGTATCAAGAAAGGAGATGAACTCGACAGATATTTGTTGTTCGACTTTGACAAAACTAAGAAACAAACGGAACCTTTGGCGTTTTGGAAAAATCATTGCGATAAATTTCCATTTCTATCTCAATATGCAAAATCTATTTTATCTATTCCTGCAACTACTACGAACGTTGAGAGGGAATTCTCATCAGCTGGCTTTGTTCTCAACGAAAGACAAACAAACTTACAGCCAAATAAACTTGATGAAATGCTATTGATTCGATCTGTAGAAAAACAATTGTATCGAAAATAAAAAAACTTCCATCATGTTCTTTTTGTTATTAATTTCTTGCGCACGTTGTTATTCTTTTGTCGGCTATTACGCTAGAGTAAAGTTCAAAATGACACTTACGAGCGTATATTATCTATTTATTACATAATTTGTGGAAGAAAGTTCTTGTAATTTCATTTTCAATAAAATAATGTGTCACAGTACGAAATAAAACAATTGTTATTCTGTAACAAAATTCATAAGTACATATAAATACTCTATGAAGTTTGCAGGGTACCCTGCCGCGTCCTGCTCATTTTTCGCTAGCAGGGAAGGGTGTCTTTTTTTCTTTTTCGTTTTTTTCCTGACAGGACAGGGTAAGATACAACAGGATACAGGACAGGACAGGGCATGAAAATGTTACCCTGTGATCATCTCTGGTAAGTACTGATTTTCTTTCTAATGCTTGTATTGATTCTGATTGCACTTTCTCAGGATGAAGAAATCGCTGAATGTGGTAGTCAAACCGATGCATTATAGTAAACTGTAGAAATTCGAATCAAACGGACATCAACATCACATAGGTAAACTAAAACTATTTATGTAAAATGTCTTTTGATTGATATTTTGTTAAGAACTTGCTTTGTTTGTCAAAAAACAGATGGAAGTTCATCTAAAGTATTATCTACAGAACAACAAAAATCAGTTTTTATCAAGCGTGGTATTGTTATACCTCCCGGAAGTCGTTTTTGTTGTGATCATCTGTATGGAAAGCATTTAACTTTCGAAGCTTTACATCAAATTGTATCTACAAAGAGTGAACCAATAGTATTTGATGCCAAAAGTGTTATGAACTTAATAACAGAATGCTGCACGATGATTCGTGATACGAAAACATTTGATTTTGATTATCCAACGTCTTTAGATGATGAAGCATATTACAATCTAACGAGTTTAGAGAAAGGTATGATTGGTTCGAGTTATATGTCGACTTAGTTTTCTACTTAGATCAATTTGATAATCTGCCCAGTACTCTAACATCAATGCGCAACTCTTATGTTCGATCAATTCGTGTAGGTCTGGCGCTCTTTCTGGTTAAAATGCGTTTAAGTGTTAGTAACAGAGTACTATCTTCTCTATTTCACATGAAAAATAAGCACGTAGCTTCTCGAATTGTTCATGCAATAGTCGAAGGACTACTCAAGAACTTTGTTCCTAAACATCTTGGTTTCCAACACATCGACAGAAGAACTGTTCTTAACTGTCATCAAACCTTAATCGCTTCACAACTGATGGCTGATAGAGATGATCAAGGGATTCTAGTAATGGATGGAACTTATTTGTTCATACAAAAGTCGAGCAGCAATCAATTTCAACGTCGATCATTCAGTATGCATAAACGCAGGAACTTGATCAAACCTACGATCACAACTGCAACAGTAAGTGTGTCGTCATTATAGTTTGAATTCAATTGTGTTTGACAAGAAATGACGAAATGCGTTTAAGAAATAAAACACATATTATTTAGGATGGATACATTCTTAGTGTACAAGGTCCATATTTTGCAGATGGTCGAAATAACGATGCGTCCATTGCCAACAATATTTTTATTCACAACGAGGAAGATGTTTTAAATTGGCTGAACAAGGATGACGTTATAGCAGTTGATCGTGGTTTTAGAGATGCCGTCAAGTCAATATATGGATTCGGCTTTAATGTCCAACTGCCTGATTTTCTCAAAGGAAAAAACATCTATCATCTGCAGAAGCCAATCATTCTCGGTGTGTTGCTAAAGTGAGATGGATTGTCGAAAGTGGTATGTTTATTAAACAATTTGCACGGAATGTAAAGACTACGAGTTTTCTCAAAACTAGTTAATGGAAAAATCAAACAATGGCGATATTTTGCTCAAACTATACGAAATTCAAGCATTCCTTTTGTCGGCGGTTATTTAAACATTATATGCGCGCTCATTAACGCATATACAAAGACTAGCAACATCGAGTCAGACAATCAAAAGCAGTGGCCAACAAAGATGCTGGAACTTCGCGATAAAGAGAATCAACTCGAACAGCGTCTTCAGGAAATTAATCAAACTAAGAATAGGTCGCAATGGAAAAAAATATTATGCTCAAATGGTCAATTTTCCAATCCTGGCTGAAGAAGATGTACAAGATATTTGTTTTGGTAGCTATCTGCTTGTTTTCTCTTTAAATTGCTAGTATCTTTCAATATAGGTACATACCAAATCAAACAAGCTAAAAGTTATATTGAGGTACATCTGAAACCTTCCGTTTTGGACAATGAAAAGTACGAATTTCTTGTTGAGCTTTCTACGAAGCACGTGGATCTAGTTTGTGTTCGTTTTGCCTTGCGACATTCAAGCAATAAAACATACATTGCCACGGTACAATTCGACGAAGATGACTATGATGAATCGATTAAAAGATGGTTCTGCACCTGTGCCGCCGGAGCTCGTATTATTGGTTGCTACGCTCATATAACAGCTTTGATTTTCCATTTAGGTGTCAGTCGTAGTGAAACTGATTCTTCTGATCATCAACTCTCAGCAAATAATCTGTTACCCAATCTCCAAGACTGTATACAATATTCAGACAATGCAAGCAACAGCGATGATCACGATGACTCATCAGAGCCTGAACCCGACGATGATTAATTTTCTCTATTTGCCATACATACGTCGTTGTACTGATCTTGCTCTTCCTATTTCTCGAATGAATAAATTATATACATCGTCTATATCTTTCTACATTTCTACTCCTAATTAACGACTTTTAGCAATTTGGCCAGACTTTTTTAAGCATATACACCACATCAGTTTGTAGTGCGTGGAAAATCCTATCGATCTGTATACAGGAAACCCCATCATCAAGTGTTTTTATGTGCCGTTAAAAGAGAAATCCCTATGATATACTTCGTAATATTCACATAGACACTATTCAGTCATCATAACTTCGCCCTATATATACTTTTTCGTGATGGTTCATATATGATTTTGTGCAGAATTTTCTGCTCTTTCTAATGAAACTATTGGGTAGATGATATCAAAGAATTTTTGTTACGATATCTCTGAAAAAACACTAGCATAATAAGATAAAAAATGAGTGAAAATACCAGGTAGTATTGGCCATCGGAAATCTTTCATATGGTTCCAGGTTGACTTGAATTTGGTGTAGAAGGATTCTCCGTCTCATTCTGCATCGTTTTTGGTATTTAGCAAGCTAGTTTTGAAATGGGCCGATTTACGGTCTTACCCAGGTCGAAAAAAAAACGATCCTGGATCCGATCGGATCCAACCATCCGACAAAATCCCGTCAGTTGTTGCAAATTTTATGAGCGATCTTTTTAGCTATATTCTATGATGACCCTTAGAAAATCCATGTTTCGGATCCGTCGAGTTCCTGTAGGATCTGATAAAATCCTATATTGGATCCGAGTATGGGATTGTTCGACCTGGGTATACTCCCCCGATCTTTGATAGAAAAACAAAATCTCTAATGCTTGTCATCCATTTTGCGCATCGAATTCATTTGCATCACTTACAATTGTGCAAATCTCTCGTATAATTAGAACTTTTGTATCCGTTCATTGATTGTTTTTGAAATATAAGCGTAAATTTTGTTTTCAATTTCACTGTAGCTACTATCTTTTTCTTTTACTTGACTTGCTTACACTCCTTTGTACTCAATATTCACTTATTTTTATGTTAACTAAACGTATATAGACTTCTTTCTTTTCTTTGGTGCAGTTGTTCATTATATCATCAATGCATCTTTATTTCATTGCAAAACAATTAAATAAACTTCATAGTGGAAAGTATGTTCTCTTAAGTGAAATAAAGAAAATCAAGAAGAAATTCATTATATACTGATTTTTGTAGTCGAAGGTAATGTCAGTCACTCTCGAAGAACGTTATTTATATTTGTCTGACTGATAATGCACCGACCCCAATAACTACTTGTTCAACAACATCAGCAAATAAATATGAAGCGAGATAAAGCTTTTCTTGCCATGAATGTTCGACACAAGAAAAAGCAAACGCTAACGCGAGCAGGTTTGAAAACCAGCAAAAAATGGCGTCTTTCAGAAAAACAATGCCTCACTCTTTACCATTTCATTTGATATTCTTCCAAACAATATTTCAAGACTCAATTTGATACAAGGAATTCGAATATCACATTGAAAACAAGGAGAAAATGAAATGGTAAAGAGTGGAGCATTGTTTTTCTAAAAGAAGGCATTTTTCGCTAGTTTCCAGATCTTCTCAGTATTTTATGTTTTTCCCAGACAAACTTTGTCAAATCAAAAAAATAAGATCAAATCCGTGTTCAGCAGAAAAGTTAAATCAAATAATGTGTGTTTTTTAGCAGATGTCTTGGGTAACAGTTGTCCATTGAGATTCGTCGTGATGAAAAACTATTTTGTAATTGAGTTATGTAAGAACAGAAGTGATATCTGATGGGTGAATATTAGCATCGTGTAATAGTTTAGTAAATGCTGAATTTGGATTTGCAGCTAAGCGACTTGGTTGATCATATTCTTGGATATAACCATTAGATAAAACAATAATTCTTAATAAATTAAATGAGTCGGACATAATGAAACAGAAAGAAAAAGAAAAAAAAGTGTATACTTAGTACTATCTAAAATCGTATGTAATCGATGAGCAATTGTTATAACAGTTGCATTTTTTAATGCTGATCGAATTGTCAATTGAATAAGACGATCTGTTTCCATATCAATCGCTGAAAGAAAAGAGAAAAATAATAACAAAAGCAATCTATGTTGAACTAATCTATATACCAGCAGTTGCTTCATCAAGTATAAATATTTTACTTTTTCTCAAAAGAGCTCGAGCTAAACATAATAGTTGTCTTTCACCAGCACTAAAAACACAAATGATATTTTATCCTTCACACAAATCTTTTAACTATACCTCATATTTTGACCACCTTCTGCTAACATATATGATAAATCATTTCCCCTTTTGATCAAACAATCTTTCAAGTGTACTAATTCCACCGCTGACCAAATTTCTGTATCACTGTAATAACCAAATGGATCAAGATTGAATCTTATACTACCAGCAAAAATAACCGCATCCTATCGAATTATCTTGTTATAATCTTATCGGAACCTAACAAAGAAAAACGTTACTTGTGGGATAATAGTGATCTTTGATCGTAAATCATGTAAACCAATTGTACGAATGTCGACATTATCAATGACTATTGTGCCATTAGTCGGCTCAATAATACGTAATAATGCTAAACATAAACTACTTTTTCCACTACCCGTTCGACCGATGATTCCAATCTAATAAATTCGATATCATTATTATCAATTCAACGTGATAATGTTTACTTTATCTCCATGTTCAATATTCACATTTATATCCTTCAATACCAATTCTAATTGTTCTCGATATTGTGTGGACAATTGTTTTATTCTAAGAAAATTTGCACGATTTTTGTTTATTTTTTAATTAGTTAACATACTGAATATTTCCATTTGTTGGCCAACGCAGTGAGGGTTTTGTTTCTGGAATTTCCCATGAAGCCTCAGATTTTAATTCTGCATACTCATTGATTCGTTCAACACTAACAATATTTGTTTCAATTTCACTTGTTGTGCGTACGAGGAAATTAAGAAAATTCGTAATTTGTAAAGCATACGTCATCATTAAACCAACAGTACCAGCTGTTAAATGATCACGTAGAAAAACAGATGTTATAGCTGTAAAGAAAATAATTAAATTCGAAATCATTTCTAAACGAACGCCAAGCCATCTAAAAGCAAAATTTTATTTATGATAAATAATAAATTTCGTTTATTTTACCTATTGGCAACTGTACTAGCAAAAAAACATGATTGATTTCGATCCATAAGTTTATCGAAAGCTTCAACAAAGCGTTGTTGAACATGATAAGCTCGAATTGAACTAAGACCTTGAATTGTTTCACTAAAATTTGCATAAATTGAACTACGTGTAACTGAATCCAAACGGCGAAGTTGCCGAGATGATGCGATATACACACGCTTTAGAAAAGATGATCTTAGCAAGAGAAAAACCTTTCAAACCAAAAATTAGTTTACCCGAAAGTAAAAAAAGAGAATTGTAAGTGGTAAAAGTACAACAATAGCAAACCATGATCCATAGATAAGAAATAATATTGTTGCAATAACAGAAACTAGGACAATTATTGATTGAGAAATAGAAGTGGGTAATGCTGAATCAATTGAATCAATTTCTTTAGAAAAACGATTGATAATTCGTCCAATTGGTGTTGTATCAAAAAATGACATTGGTGCATGAAGAATTCCCATAAGAAGAATCCAGTGAAGTTTCCGACTAGCAATATATGCAGCAAGTTTTAAAACTAATTGCGTAAGAAATATAAATAAACCTAAGAGAAAAAAAACGAAAATCGGTAGAAAATTTCTTATAATTGGTGTTTTTACCTTGAGATAAGCCTAAGATAGAATAAATGGTCATATAATAAATTGTATTTGTCGCCTCATCCGTCCATTTTGTAAGCCAAATATTTGCACATAGAATAGAAACTAACGTTAAGAAGGAAAAAATAATAAGTAATGTAATCATTGATAATCGACATGCACGAATATAAATTGAAAATATACGAAATTGGATCTGGAAAAAAGCATCGAATTTGATAAAAAAAATTAAATTATTGAAAGAACTTACAGAACCAGTTTCGATTGTTTCTTTTTCAATAAGTTTTTTCTTTTCTTCTTCAACATATTGATCATCATTTTCAGTACCTTCAATACTTACTCGACGTTCTACATCATGTGTTTCATGTTCATCTTGTTCTTTACCAGAATGAACAAATTCACGTAGAATTTCACTTCGTTCTATTAAATCATTATATAAACCTTGATCAACAATTTTACCATGAGAAATAACCACAATATTATCACATTTATATAAATGTGTTACACCATGTGTTACTAAAATCCTTGTCTAAATCAAACAATTCAAAGAAAGATTTTTTTCTTCGAAAATGTCTACTACTTACTTTGCCATTTAGTAGTCCTTTTGATCCAATAACATGTTTGAATATATGTGCACCAACATGTGCATCAACAGCTGATAACGGATCATCAAGAAGATAAGTATCCGCATTACTATACAATGCTCGAGCTAATGAAACACGTTGTCGTTGTCCACCAGATAAATTAATGCCCTACAAATGATGGATTTCAAAGTTGTTCATTAGAAAATATTCTTTACCTTTTCACCAATTTCTGTTTGATCTCTTGCTGGAAGCATAGCTATATGAAAATGAACTTGAATATTTGCTCTTAAAAAAGTTTATGTCTTTATTTTACCAAGGTCTTGTTTTAGTGCACATGCTTCAATAATTTGATCATAAAATTTCTTATCAAAATCTTTTCCAAAAAGAATATTTTCTCTCAATGTTGCATTCATAATCCATGCTGTTTGTGGAACATATGCAATTTGTCCACTAATACACACACGCCCATTTATTTTACTCATTTCTCCAAGAAGCGCTGATAATAAACTACTTTTACCCGATCCTACTACACCAACAAGAGCAACAAGTGAACCTTGATGAATTTGTAAATTTATACTAAAAGTTCAAGTTTAGCAAAAACAGGACTTTTACGTTTCAAAACGAACTCTTTGAGAATCAAAGGAGCATCTGCAAGATTTGACCAACCAAAACATCCATTTTCAATATGAATAGAATTACTACTCGATGATTCAAGTGGAGTTTCATCTACAGCATTTTGATCAATTTCATCGCGAGTTAAAAATTTTCCAATTCGTTCACTTGATACACGTGCCTTAAGCAATCGAATGAATTTTATGAATTAATCAGGAAAAAGATTTACTTCGATAATGCTATTTATCATAGTCGGAAATGATATGAGTGGTCCGCGAAGCAAAGTAAATAATGCTAATGATACAAATGCTTTCTCTGCAGTTAAAATATTCGAACTCGATAAAAGAACATATGTAGCAAATGTTATTACGCCAACCTGAAAATAGATATAAATAAAAATCATAACTTCTATTCATTTTTTTACAAGAATTGGTGTAAATATCCAAAGAACATGTGAAAAAGCGCCAATAATCGCACTTTGTCGAATATATTTAAGTTCTTGTTCTCTTATACGAGTAATTGTACGAATAAATGCCATTTCCCATGCATATAATTTCAAAACGCGGATTCCATTAAGAATTTCATTCATTATTTTAATTCGTTCATCTTTAACTTTCATTTGTTCAGACTAAAATAAAAATGAAATAAAATAATTCAAATTGATTTTCTTCATACCGCCAATCTTTTTAAAATTTTTTGAAGAAATAAATTAATCGGAATCATTAAAAACAATAATACAAGACCCGGCACAATCGCTAATTGCATTTCTTTATAAAGTAGAATAAGTATAATAGTTATTTGAAATGGGCCTAAAGTATGATTACAAATTCACACGTTAAAACAAATATTTTACATACCGGACCATAACATATGCAAATGTGTTGTAATATCCGCAAAACGTGATGCGTCAATTGCCATCTACACAAAATGAATCAATTAAAGTTTATACACAAATCGATATATACGAACTAGATTAATTATTTCACCGGTAGTTGTTTCATGCTTTGATGCATTACTTAATTTTAAAGTCTAATAAAGTACAAAAGATAGAAAGAGAAAAGAATCATAAAGAAATTATTAACTTTGCGATAGACAAGTCCACATATTGCTGAACGAAATCGAAGTCCAACAATGAATTGAGAGTAGAAATAAGTTCGTAAGAATATAACTTGACAAAAGACTATTGTACTTAATGATAAAGCATAAAACACTCCTAACCATTTTGGCTTTGTTGGATCAGTAAAAAATTTTAGAAATAACCTTAAATAAATCAATTTATAATTAAGTTTTAGAAAATTTTCAAAAATTCTACTTTAAAACCAATGGACCAGCTAATTGCAATAAATCATGAACAAATTTAGTCAAACCACCAGCAATTATCTTTTCAATAAATGCAATGAAAAGAGCATGCCAAAAAACAAGTTTTTTTTCATGTTTTAACAATGGCTTTTCTAATAAATCATTTCCATCTTCAGTGACATTTGTGTATAAAATCTTTCCTGATGGTTTTGTCATTCGATTGATACAATTTTGAACTTGATGAACAACTGTAACAATTCGTTCGGATATTGATAACCGCCAACAATCACTATCTTCAAGTGGCTTTTTATAACCACGAACAATTAATGGTGTTACCCATGTACAAAATATTTGTGATGGAATACTAACATATGATTCAGGCATAATAGACTAAAAACATTATTTCATAGACCTTCTTTCGAAATGTGATTAAGTTTATTCATACTTTTTCTATATTGATGGATTTTTCAGGAAAACAATTCATAATAAATAATCCTAAAACAACGAAAAATCGAAGATATAAACGAATGAGTTGTATCCATAATTCAATTGATTTGTTCTAAACAATAGAATATAAACATTTGTTTGATATTAAAAATAACAAACTTTTTCGTAGAATTCAATCGAATCGATGATGAGATCTGTTATATTAGTGACTGATACCAGTAACCAAAATACAAAGAGTACCTCTGACGAATAAATATTCTTCAATCGATCATAATTTAATAACCAAATAATAGTTATTGATGTCATTATATAAAGAATTGAAGCGAGAAAAACCGCACGATCATGTCGTTCTGTTGATAGAGTTGTAATTTGGATAAGAATAAACAGAACAGTAAAAATCTATTATTCGAATTATGAATATATGTATATACATATTTATCAATGATCTATTTATTTACCATTTTACTTATGAATAGTGAAGATATTGGAATTGGTTGTAAATTTATTCGTCGTCTGTTTAACATATAAATCCATAATGGTAAAATAAACCAAAACATAACCAAAGGTATCAATTGTAAAATCATATTTCGAAAACATTTTGTTAAATATGGATACGGTAAATTCGTGATATTTTTATCCTAAAAAGTCTTACATAAGCGAAATTAACTAATAATTATTTCCATACCCATAATGGTGTTCTACATAAACGAATCATCGCTGAAAAAAAAAGTAAAATTTGCATTCTTTTTGTACAAAACGAACTTATTCCTATGCTAGTATAACCACGCGTTAACAGGCGATGCACTATTTCAGCACACGACCTGCGTGTTTGTGGTTACATACCTTCGATTTTTCTTTCTTTCTTTTTTTTCTTCCTCTTTACTTTGAAAAAAGCATAATAAGCTATCCGACGAGTCGGAACGAGAAAAAAAAGAATGTCGACTTAGTTTTTTTGACATCAGAGGCGATGTGTAAACGTCTGTTTAGAATTACTTTTTTCTATCCATGACAAGAAACTCATATAAATATATTTTTTAACATTGTCGAAAACGTGTCAGTGTTCTGCGTGTTTATTTATACAATTTGTTATCATAATAATTTATGATAGTTTTACGTTGTCATGATTTTATAAAAGAGAACAATTAAAAATTGAGATACAAATGAACCAAATGAACAAGCAATTTGATGAATATTAAGCAATGCTCTAAAAACAAACATGAAGGCGTTGTATTATAATAATCGAAACGATCACACAAATCTTCATTCTCCATGAAAATATTACGCAACTTTTAAACATCAATCAGACTTAGATCAGTCCAAAAGTAGTGGCGGAAGTATCCTCATCTTTTATAGAAGACTTCGAGAAACTTTTCTTCTATATAGGGTAATAGAGAAAACTCAGTTCTGTAGCATCTCGCTTGTTTATTATAACATGTTATCTTGTATTGGCTGTGCATGATCTTATTGATAAAGACCACAATCAACTCTTGAAAGTTTGTCTTGAAAAAATAGATCAACGGAAAGAAAATTTGCACAAGTAGCAAAGATAAAAACTGAACTACAAAGAATAATTAAAAGACGACTAATTTTCAATGCATCAATTGATATTGTATATCCTAATGTCGTAAATTGACATGCATCACCATAGTAACGTTTGGGACAAGCACATGCCAAGATTAATTTCGATGATGATAATAACGATTGTCGACATTGTCCATTGTTTAAACAAACAACAGATGTTGGTGAACAATTAGCAATTGAATAATTAAACTGAAAACATTCAAATCTTCCCTCGTTATCACAGACGCACATGGAATCTTTGTCATAGAAACATTGTAAACCAATATGATAACAAACACGATGGTAAAATTAGATACGATCATTCGAATTCGATGTCTCATTCAAATGATAATCATTCCAATTCAAAATTTCCGCGACATGTGAACATCGATGAGATGGAAGTACCGAAGTTTTCATATATTCATTGGAACGTTTATGTAAACCAATTAAAAAGTAATCATTATGATCCGAATTATAAAATATCTGTGCAAATATAAACTGAGAAACAAACGATTGTCGATAATTGATACTTAATACTGAAGAATTCTAGGGGATATTTGAATATATCAAATGACTTTGGATGAGTAGTCTTGGTAATCCATTGAAAACATCAGCAAAATAGATAATCATTAATGGAATTCGATTCATATCAGTTGACGATGTGAATTGTTTTTTAATTGAGAGTGGTATGTCGATTTGAACTGACATCGAAGACCATAATAAGATGGTAAACATAACCAGATCGATGATTTGAATCTGAATAGACAAGATAAAACAAATGTTTATATTGCGAAATAAGATAATGAAGAATTAATTCTTCACGATCAATGGTTTCATTTCGTTCATTGACAAGTGTGGCAACTACACGGAAGAATTCTGCTTGATCACCGACGTCGTTAGCATATTGATGATTTAGTTCGTCTAGTTTTGTCCATATACGGTTGATTTCGAAATGCTTAATGAAGACAAGGCATTTTATTTCTTCTCTCAAGGTCTGAAAAACAGACAAATTAGCAACTGATTGACCTCTTTATGAAGTTTATGAATTTTGTAGAGAATGTCAAACATTCGAAGAACTTCAATCAACACAAAATGATTCTTATTTGATGCAATTACATGCTTTACTTGTGAATGAACGAATTTTTCTTGAACATGACGATATAAATTTGTATCTGAATATCATTGAAAAGCATTGTGAGCCTTATATGTCGGAAGAGATTCAGTTCATCAACGTTTTCGCTTATGTTTACATGCTTATCAATTGATTCTTCGAATTCAAAAAGATGAATATGATTATAAGAGATTATTTGATGAAGAAACAAATGACGAATTTTGTCGCGATTTCTTTCAAATATGGGAAAATGATGGTTTTGTGTCGATTGATTCGTTAGCGGCTGTTGCCGACTGAATGTTTTTTTTTTCAATTTGCCTTACACAAGTCATCGAGTACAGATTGTAAAGATTACAAGTAACGCGATGACTAAATCGCTCACACTCTATTGAAAGGAATTGATATTAGGGAGCTTAGTGTGCATACACACATTGTATAAACACGATAATTTGCTCATACGTATAGGACATATATACAAGTAGGAGAACATCATGATAGTAGAAGAAATACTGTCTTTCAAAACTAATCGGTTTTAACTGAAGTGGTGAAATAGTGAAATGGAGATATATTTAAAAGGTTGTTATTCACACAAAATAATAAAGCTTGTTATTTTTTTGTGTATAATTTCCATCGGTATAAACCTCGTGCTGACTCTACAAAAAACGTAACGTATTACTAGAAACGAGTTACTATAAAAACGAAGTCCAATTGACGCAATTACCTGAATCTTTACTTTAGAAACTGAAAAGTATTTAGCTTAGCAGTGAATAATCACAAAAGAGGGAAAACTTTCTCTTTTTGGAAGAATAGGATCTTATTTTCTCGCGAAATTGAATTACAGTTTTTGAAAATAGAGGCAATATTTCATTGCAGTTAAATTTTGAATGAATATCATACTGGAAGAAATACATGTTTTCATTCTGGTAACAATTATAATCGTTTCTTAGCTTTAATCTGTAGACGAATATGCACTCAGATGGAAATTAGAACTAAGTTTCACGTCAAACAGTTAGATCTTATATATACAGAGAACTCTCCCAATGTCGGTGATATATATTTTCTATTTTATTTCCAGTTTGGCTTGTTGTCGACTGTTGGAATATATTGAATTTTGTATGTAAGAAATTTGTGCACAAGGCACTAGCATGTTCAATGGTTTATTTCAATTTTAGGTTATACAATAGACGTAGTCTTAGAAAAAGTGAACCACATCAAGCTGAAATAAACAATATATGGATAAACGAAGTAAGGAATACATGACTGTTAACAAAACGTCATTCCGATATGTAATGTCAATGTACGAAGAAATCATTTAATAACATTGTAATGTTTCAACGTTTCTTTAGCAACTGTGTCTAACCTATTTAATTCGTTAAGTTGTGCTTGCAGGGTTTCACATTTAAAAGGACGAAGAATTAATAAATCTTCCAAGCGTTTAACACGTGACAATGGAACATAAGTCGATGCAATTTCAGCTGGGCCAGGTGGTACAACGAGATCAGTAATAACTTTTCCAATAGTTTGACCTTGACTNAATAAGATAATGAAGAATTAATTCTTCACGATCAATGGTTTCATTTCGTTCATTGACAAGTGTGGCAACTACACGGAAGAATTCTGCTTGATCATCGACGTCGTTAGCATATTGATGATTTAGTTCGTCTAGTTTTGTCCATATACGGTTGATTTCGAAATGCTTAATGAAGACAAGGCATTTTATTTCTTCTCTCAAGATCTGAAAAACAGACAAATTAGAAACTGATTGTCCTCTTTATGAAGTTTATGAATTTTGTCGAGAATGTCAAACGTTCGAAGAACTTCAATCAACACAAAATGATTCTCATTTGATGCAATTACATGCTTTACTTGCGAATGAACGAATTTTTCTTGAACATGGCGATACAAATTTGTATCTGAATATCATTGAAAAACATTGTGAGCCTTATATGTCGGAAGAGATTCAGTTCATCAACGTTTTCACTTATGTTTACATGCTTATCAATTGATTCTTCGAATTCAAAAAGATGAATATGATTTTAAAAGATTATTTGATGAAGAAGCAAATGACGAATTATGTCGTGATTTCTTTCAAATATGGGAAAATGATGGTTTTGTATCGATTGATTCGTTAGTGGCTGTTGCCGACTGGATGTTTTTTTGTCAGTTTGCCTTACACAAGTCATCGAATACAGATTGTAAAGATTACAAGTAACGCGATGACTAAATCGCTCACACTCTATTGAAAGGAATTGATATTAGGGAGCTTATAGTCTGCATACACACGTTGTATAAACACGATAATTTGCTCATATGTATAGGACATATATACAAGTATGAGAAGATCATGATAGTAGAAGAAATACTGTCTTTCAAAACTAATCGGTTTTAACTGAAGTGGTCAAATAGTGAAATGGAGATATATTTAAAAGGTTGTTATTCACACAAAATAATAAAGCTTGTTATTTCTTTTTTGTGTATAATTTCCATCGGTATAAACCTCGTGCTCACTCTACTAAAAAAGTAACGTATTACTAGAAACTAGTTACTATAAAAACGAAGTCCGATTGACGCAATTACCTGAATCTTTACTTTAGAAACTGAAAAGTATTTAGCTTAGCAGTGAATAATCACAAAAGAGGAAAAACTTTCTCTTTTTGGAAGAATTAGGATCTTATTTTCTTGCGAAATTGAATTAGAGTTTTTGAAAATAGAGGCAATATTTCATTGTAGTTAAATTTTGAATGAATATCATACTGGAAGAAATACATGTTTTCATTCTGGCAACAATTATAATCGTTTCTTAGCTTTAATCTGTAGACGAATATGCACTCAGATGGAAATTAGAACTAAGTTTCACGTCAAACAGTTAGATCTTATTTGTACAGAGAACTCTCCCAATATCGATGATATATATTTTCTATTTTATTTCCAGTTTGACTTGTTGTCGACTGTTGGAATATATTCAATTTTGTATGTTAGAAATTTGTGCACAAGGCACTAGCATGTTCAAAGGTTTATTTCAATTTTAGGTTATATACAATAGACGTAGTCTTAGAAAAAGTGAACCACATCAAGCTGAAATAAACAATATACGAATAAACGACGTAAGGAATACATGACTGTTAATCAGGGTTACCAACTGTACCCCATTTGGGGGTACAGCACCCCATTTCACTACTTTGCACCCCAAGAAAATCTGTACCTTTGGGATACGCATTCTGTACTCCATTTCGATATTCTTCAATAGACTCTTATAAACAATACGTAGTGTAGCATCTTTTTATTAAAAACTAGAGCAGACTTTTTGCTACAACTTCTGTCTCGAATTTCGCGCAGATGAGAAATGTAAAACCATGTCGTCCAAATTGTTTAAAAGTTCACGATCTTGTCGTGGGCTTTGCTCCAGTTGTTAAAGAGATGATTTCGCAAATTATTTCCAGGATCGAGAATTTTCTGAAACTCTTTCAACAAGGTAGTGACAATTAACCGATCACATCACTTTAGTTAAACAAAGTCACCGTATTAGACTATTCTGTCTCATCAGTTAAAAAAGAGTCGATGGCTCCATTGCAAGTGAGTAATTAGACTAATGATAAAACTATGAATATATATGTTGCTTAAGCTGATGACTTTCATTGATTTTCACTACAAGATCGTGGACGGTGTACAATTTTGACAGTGAAAATACTGGTTGTTGGTGATTATAGCAAAAAATTTTTAAAAGAAACCGTGATTCTCTGGCAGTATTGCCGTAGTTGTGACGATACGGGAATTTCATTATCTGATGAGTGAACTATATATAAATAAAGCATTATCGTTTGTCAATGACTAGTCTTCTTAGTTTACATTTCTCACGATGTCCTGGGAGTCACAGTCGATCTTGAATCGATTAAACTCCTTGCATTTGAGAAGTTTACATGCTGCTATTTTAACTGGTTTGAAGAAAATCGAGAAATCATTGTGCATTCTAGTTTTTTCATTAAGAAACATATTGAAACTAGTTTTATTTATATGACTTTTTTGTCTGAAAACAAATATCTCACAACATATCTTACAGAGAGAAGATAAAATGATTTTCCGGTAATAATAAGTCTTTTGTGGACTTCTTCTTCGAATAGATCGGATATATTTCCGAGGAAATTTTGTACCTCACGTCTGTACCCTATTTGGAGGAAAGCTGTACCTCTCGTGCACACCATTTCTCATCTCCGATACCCCATTTGAGACCTGGACAGTTGGTAACCCTGCTGTTAATAAAACGTCATTCCGATATGTAATGTCAATGTACGAAGAAATCATTTAATAACATTGTAATGTTTCAACGTTTCTTTAGCAACTGTGTCTAACCTATTTAATTAGTTAAGTCATGCTGCCGATAGTTGTACTTGCAGGGTTTCATACTTAAAAGGACGAAGAATTAATAAATCTTTCAAGCGTTTAACACGTGACAACGGAACATAAGTCGATGCGATTTCAACCGGGCCAGGTGGTACAACGAGATCAATAATAACTTTTCCAAGAGTTTGACCTTGACCCTTATGTGTTGTTATGCTGTATGCTGGTAGGAGAGGAAGCGCTTTACGTTTAATGGAAAATCTTTGTCGACCATTTGGTAAGTTTTGCAGCTTTCGATGTACTTTTAGTTAGAAGCTCTTTTACATCAAATTGGAAAGTTGGTTCACTAAGACAGATAGGAATTATCTTTTGCTCGAGTTTAGACAACGCATAGTCAAGCTTGCAGCTCGGAAAGTCCACCAAAGCATGTTTCCGTTGTAATACAAATTTTGTATGTTCCGGGAAGTTGTTTTCATATAGTTGAGTGTCCTGAAGACATTCCTCATAGACAAGCTGATGAAACACGCCACGTGTTCCATTGGAAAGTCCCAACTCAGTTGCAATATTTTCGGTCAGTAAAACAGGCATACCCGGAACAAGTGGTAAATATCCTGGAAGATGCTCTGTTCTATTGTCTGGAAGTTCTAGAATAGCTTTGCACAGGCGTGGACCATCAATCATAGTACCTTTGACATAATCTTGTGGAACGCATACAATGTGTGTTACTCCTAATCCAATAGCCTTGTTCAAAACAGCTCGATTATTGATTTGAGTTCGAACAGTGTTGCGAAACACCAGGATAGGAGCCTATTATAGAAAATACGATTAGACAAAAAACTAAAAACATTTTAAAAAATATACTTCGTTCCATGGTTTTTATCGTAGAGATACTTTCAAATTAGGACTTCCAATAATGCGCGAACAAAGAAGTTGATAATCTTCTCTTGTCGACCGTCCACTCCGCAATCTGTGCAACAACTCCAAATATCTTACACCTTCCGTTCGCATCTGTTGCTCCAGTTTTACAACACAATTTATTTGAGACATAACTTTCTGTGCACGTTGTATATCAATTTGACGATCGTTGTGCTGTTGCATGGACGAACAACTTTGATAGAGAGCTTTGTCTAGCACTGGAGAATATTGCAAATAGTCTCCGAAGAAGATCATGTTAACACCACCAAAAGGCGCTTCGGGGTTTACGTGTTTCGCCGGTTTCACAACTCGATTGAGTCTAGTCAAGAGGCTCAGTCCTACCATGCTCATTTCATCGATTATTAAATACTTCACCTGACGCCATTCATTCTCCAATTTTGCATCGCCTGGTCTAAATGTATCTGTTAGCCTTTTAGAACTCTTACGACTTTCACCCAGGAATGAATGAATTGTTGGATCATCAATTTACGCAACATTTTACATCGATTGGTTAGTTGAAAATAGTTAGTAATTGCTCGAATTAATTGGGTCTTCCCAGTGCCGCCACAACCAAGTACACACATCAGTAGTTGCCCGTTAAGAGTATCTAATATATTCTAGATGACAACGATTATTAAAACTAGTCAAAAATTTACCATTTCGCGATGAATAGTCGCCGTCGAGATGATCACAAACAATCTTGAATGCGAATGATTGCTGTTTATTCAATGTGAATTTCACGATAATATCTGATTCGCTTGGCAACAGAACAGTTTCAACTGTACTCACAGGTGAAACTGTTGATATTTGATCCTTCAATGAACTTGTAGGGATCTGAGCAGTGATCGGTTCAATTTGCATTTCGTCATCTTGTGTTTCTACAGTGTTATCATCAGAAACTAATATAAAACAAACCAACACACTTTATTCGATACATTTTTGCTTAACAGATCTATTTTCACTTAAACGATAAAAGGTTTTTTTTAATTGAATTGTATTGAATTCGGAGAACATGAAAAATCTTTCTAAACTCAAGTCAACTCAACTCAACGCAGGTCAACAAATCCGATGCTGGATCCGATGAGCTCTGAGTATAGGATTGTTCGACCTGGGAACTCGTTTCAACTCAAAAAATGAATCGAATTGAGTTGCTCAGCTCTGATACAACTAATTTTCATGAACGGGAAAAAATAGAGAAACAACGGACAGACTCATCATAAAGCTGATAGAGAAAGAAAGAACAGACGCATGACTTATGTCGTTATGTCTCGTAGATGAAANCCACCAATATCAGCCTCACTAAATACATAGGGGTAGTACCTAACATTTTTATATAACGACAGAATAATAGCTGGAAACACGTTGAGACCCTCATCAAACAAAATCTATGTAATAAACAGCAACTTTTCTTTGCACCTTACTGTATATAAAGAAGAAAGTTTGTCTGGCTATCTCTTTATTTGTTCGCTATACACTCAGCCCCTGAGATAGCTGGCAGGATGAAAATTTTTACGATGGCCCATTAGCTTCAGAGGGAGGTCGACATGTACTTTGCTCCGGAAAAAAGCAGTCCAACAATCTCTACAGACGAATTTACGGAACTGACCAATAGGAATGCAGGGTTTGAAAATATCGGAGCCGGCATGTAGCAAAAGCAGTCTGAGCGCTCACACACAATATCTCATATGATCTACTTAGTCTATGGCTATCCTGAACTTTCCACGGGTAATCCAGTATGAACTGGACAATGGAATTGCAGGGTTTCGTAACTAAAATTACTTAGAAAACATCTTAATGTTTGAAACACCATCGATTGATTCATGTGCGCAAAGGATCACGCCAATGAGAGAATTTAGCAGTAATGCAAAAGCACAACAGTTATTCATAGAAAAATCCCTATAGGAATGGTCGAAATAGTCTCATTATGTTTCACGATTAATCCTGCTAGGGATTGCGCTGAAAGGTTTTATGAAATAATCGATAATTATCTTATTATAATACTGACTTCTTAGTCCTTGTGTTGTTGTTGCTGTTGTTGTGTTTGTTGCTGTTGCTGTTGCTGTTGTTGTCGCTGTTGTTGATGATGACGATGATGATAATGGTGATGTTGTTGTTGTTCTTGTAGTCGCAGTTGAAGCTATTTTAAAAATAATAAATCTATATATTGAAAGCAGGATATTTATCTCTCTGTCTGTTTGTTTATTCGCTATGCATTCCGTCTTTCTAATAGCTAGTGGGATGAAACCTTCCACGACGCTTACTTAGATCCTAAGAAAAGTCGACATCTACTCCGTTTTGAAAAAAAGCAGTTCAAGACTTTTTACAGACGATTTAGAGAGCTGACCAATAGGAATGCCATGGGTGCAGAATCTGCCCTTCGACGTCAACGCGCGCTTGGGGAAATTTTTGAGGAATTATTGACTATGGACTTTTTTCTAAACAAAACTCGTAAGAAATTTCTTTTTAATTATAAATATTATTTTATGTGTAAACAGTCGATCTTCATTAGTAGAGTATAATGTTACTATATTAATTCTTTTACTCAAACACTCAGGGGAAATTTCTCATTTTTACGGCAGATTCTGCATCCTTGAGGAATGCAGGGTTTGAAAATATTGGTGTAGCAAAGGCAGTCTGAGCGCTCACACACAATATCTTATATGATCTACTTAGTCTATGGCTATCCTGGACTTTCCACGGGTAATCCAGTATGAACTGGACAATAGAATTGCAGGGTTTCGTAACTAAAATTACTTAGAAAGCATCTTAATGTTTGAAATACGGATTAGTAAAAATAAAAGTTGAAAAAGTAACGACAAAGTGGTGTGTTACATTGTTGTACACTAAGCTTAAAAAATCAAGTAGTTACTGTTTTCTTTGGACACGCAAAACATGTCAGGTCTCACTATCTGAATAACCACCGGGTACTTCCGCTAGTTGCTTATAAACAATTTTTTCTATTGATCTATTTGTTTAATTTTTGTTTATTTTAAAAGACAAGACAAAAGTATTGTTTTCTTGTGTGAAAAATGCTCTTTTTTGTATCTTCGTAAAATAAGAATGAAAATAAGATAAAATATTTCATACTTGTTGTTGTGATTGTTGTTGTTTTGATTGTCTATGAAAAATATTGAAAATAATATGTGAAAAGATAAATATCGAATAAAAAATCTCCAAAAGAATTAAATGGAGAATAGGAGTGTTTGCAATGGTCAACAACAAAATCGCCATCACTCAATAAGCACACACAAGGTATAAAAATATCGTTGCTTATACGGCTACAGTAGTAGCATGAGTGATAGTCATTTCGTTGTCAACTTTTGCAAGTAGTGATATATTCAATGCTTTACTTTATGAATTTTTTTGGACATTTTATTTTTCGATCTTTTTATTGTTTACCTTTGTATCTGTAGCATCCGTTTTTGGTGTTAATGCTATTGGAAGGGCGATTACCAAAATTAAGATAATGGTAATTACGAAAATCACTGACGCGATGACAATCGGTTTAAACCATCCTGATTCGCGTATGGAAGTCTTGTTGGCGCTGTTTATATGCAAAAAGAAAAAGATAGATTTTACAGCTAATGCTGATAAATGAATATAGATGTCTAATCNTTTAGACAACGCATAGTCAAGCTTGCAGCTCGGAAATTCCACCAAAGCATATTTCGGTTGTAATACAAATTTTGTATGTTCCAGGAAGTTGTTCTCATATGGTTGAGTTTGCTGAAGACATTCCTCATAGACAAGTTGATGAAACACGCCACGTGTTCCATTGGAAAGTCCCAACTCAGTTGTTTTATATTGTCTGGAAGTTCTAGAATAGCTTTGCATAATCGTGGATCATCAATCATGGCACCTCTGACATGAGCTTGCGCGACGTATACGATGGGCGCGACTCTCAATTCGATAACCTTATTCAAAACAGCTCGATTATTGATTTGAGTTCGAACAGTGTTGCGAAAGACCAGCATAGGAGCCTATTATAGAATATACAATTAGGCAAAAAATTAGACGCATTTTTAAAAATATACTTCGTTTCGCGAGTTTTGTCGTAGAGATATTTTTAAATTAGGACTTTCAATAATGCGTGAACAAAGAAGTTGATAATCTTCTCTTGTCGACTGTCCATTCCGTAATCTGTTCAGTAATTCCAAATATTTTACATCTTCCGTTCGCATTTGTTGCTCCAGTTTTACAACACAATTTATTTGAGACATAACTTTCTGTGCACGTTGTATATCAATTTGACGATCGTTGTACTATTGCATGGACGAACAACTTTAACATAGAGCTTTGTCTAGCACTGGAGAGTGTTGCAAATAGTCTCCGAAGAAGGTCACGTTAACACCACCAAAAGGCGCTTCTGAGTTGACATGTTTTGCCGTTTTCACAACTCGATTGAGTCTAGTCAAGAGGCTCAGTCCTACCATGCTCATTTCATCGATTATTAAATACTTCACGTGACGCCATTCATTCTCCAATTTTGCATCGGCTAGTCTAAATGCACCTGTTTGCCTTTTAGAACTCTTACGACTTTCACCCAAGAATGAATGAATTGTTGAACCATCAATTTCTGCAGCAGCTATGGATGTTGGTGCCAATTTACGCAACATTTTACATCGATTTGTTAGTTGAAAATAGTTAGTAATTGCTCGAATTAATTGGGACTTCCCAGTGCCACCACAACCAGGTACATACATCAGTAGTTGCCCGTTAAAAGTATCTAATATATTCTAGATGACAACGGATTATTAAAACTAGACAAAAATTTACCATTGCATTTCGTCGTCTTGTGTTTCTACAGTGTTATCATCAGAAACTAATATAAAACAAACCAACACACTTTATTCGATACATTTTTGCTTAACAGATCTATTTTCACTTAAACGATAAAGGTTTTTTTTTAATTGAATTGTATTGAATTCGGAGAACATGAAAAATCTTTCTAAACTCAAGTCAACTCAACCCAGGTCAACAAATCCGATGCTGGTTTCGATGGGCTCTGAGTATAGAATTGTTCGACCTGTGAACTCGTTTCAACTCAAAAAATGAATCGAATTGAGTTGCTCAGCTCTGATACAACTAATTTTCATGAACGGGAAAAAATAGAGAAACAACAGATAGACTCGTCATAAAGCTGATAGAGAAAGAAAGAACAGACCCATGACTTATGTCGTTATGTCTCGTACATGAAAGAAAAACAAAATAAACTTATAAAGAGTGAGGTATAGGTTAGGTTCGAACGCATGATGTTGCTTAATAACTTAGTAGTGGTTTTCTTCGATGGAGCCTTGATGTATAAGCACAGGAACGAGCCGATGTGTACGTCGATAGTCGTCTTTTCTTCGTTCTCGATCAAGTTCTCCTATATAGTGCTACATTCTGCCTGATATGGAAAGAACTAGGTGATAAAGCGAGTATTATATGCCGACATGAGCGGTATTGCAATCTTTCCAGTTTATGATGATAGGAAATTTAATAATGAAGCAGTAATGAAACAATTCATCGATTTTTTTTCACCATAATAAGTGTAAGTAGTATATTATTTCGTTAATATTAAATTCTCAAAACATGCTTGAATAAATAATTTGATTAGACAATAAAATTGGACACTAGACTTTAAAAAAGAACTATGGTCCTGTGAATGTCCATTAATACAATTCAGTACTATTAAGAGTACCAACATTACTACCACCATATCCACCAGTAACTAATATTGTTCCATTTGATAATACGGATGCTGTATGTGTACCTCGTGGAGCATTCATGTTTGCTCTCATTGTCCAATTATTTGTTGATGGATCATACAATTCAGTACTATTAAGAAATCCACCACTACTACCAGCATTTCCACCAACAACTAATATTGTTCCATTTGATAATGTAGATGCTGTATGCCCACTTCGTGGAGCATTCATCTTTGGCATTCTTGTCCAAATATTTGTCGATGGATCATACAATTCAGTACTATCAAGAATACCAACATCAGTTCCACCAGTAACTAATATTGTTCCATTTGATAATATAGTGGCTGTATGTTCACCTCGTGCAGCGTTCATGTTTGCTTTCATCGTCCAAGTACTTGTCGATGGATCATACAATTCAGTACTATTAAGATATCCATCATCAATACCACCATATCCACCAATAACTAATATTGTTCCATTCGATAACATGGATGCTGTATGCGCACGTCGTGCAACAGTCATGTTTGCTGTTATTGTCCAATTATTCGTTAATGGATCATACAATTCAGCACTACTCAGATATTCATTACTATCACTATCAATATTAGATCCACCAGTAACTAATATTTTTCCATTTGATAATACGGATGCTGTATGTCCACTTCGTGCAGCATTCATGTTTGGTGTCATTGTCCAATGATTTGTTGATGGATCATACAATTCAGCACTATAGGGGTAAGTAGATACACTAGATCCACCCGCAACTAATATTGTTCCATTTGATAATATGGATGCTGTATGTCTAACTCGTGCAGCATTCATGTTTGCTTTCGTCGTCCAAGTACTTGTCGATGGATCATACAACTCAGCACTACGAAGAAAACTATCACCTCTGATACTATAATATCCACCAGTAACTAATATTTGTCCATTTAATAATATAGATGCTCTATGAAAACGTCGTGCGTCATTCATGTCTGTTGTCATTGTCCACCCTAAATGTGGAAAAGACGTAAGAAAAATAAGATTTCTTGATCAAAACAACTTCAAATTAAACCATATCAATAGTTTATTGATCGATGAATCATAAAGGACATTATTTCAAGACTTCAATAAAAGTGCTTACGTCGTCTTGTAGATATATAATCCGAGTAATATTGAAATTGAAAAATGAATATATAGAAACATACAGGTGAGATGTCTCATTTGAATTAGAATATAAAGCAATTTCTAATACCTTAGTTACAGAGAAAAATCAACGATGAAATAATCTTCATTATGTATCAAACTTACTGAAAATTAATAAATTAGGGAGGAGGGGATCAATCCGCACCTAGATCCACGCCAGATTTGGATGCGGATCCGGGTCCGAAAGAAAATTTAGCAGACCCGGTTTCTATATAATTAGCCTGTAGCTTCCACAAAATGAGATTGAAATCAACGTATTATTTGGGATTTGTTTTTTTCTTCTCAGAGATTTCATGATTCGTTTTGATCCCTCAAAAAACAGTTATAATAGAAAATCTAACATAAAATTAAAACGAAAAATTATTTGTGTCGTTGCATTGCAAGCATCGATTCGATTACTATAGCAATAGTAATACAATACACTAAGGAAAACTATGAGCAAGCAGAAATAATCATACATGTACAACTCGAGAAGCCATTTCGAGTATTAAACTCCGTAACTCGAGTTTTAAACTATTCAACTATTAAACTTATGGAGTTTAAAACTCGAATGAAATTAACGATTTCTACACTACTTGCAATCTAGGTCTACAACTAAACAGGTCTGAGACTGATGCAACTAACTTTTCAATCTCATCGTATTAAATATAGTGGGCTTTCATTAAGCTCTATGTTTGTAAAATAACATTTGAACGCAAGAACATATCGACGTTGTATGACTTCTAGAAATATCAAAAGTTTTATAAATGAAACTATGCAAGAATTGGAATGTTAATGAGACCATATCCGGGAGTATTTTTGACGTCTTTTTCAGGTACGCCCTCACCTCATCAGGCTAAACCGGACACTTGCGAGACTATCAAAGTACCTGATAACTTTTATAACTTTCTACATTGTTATCGAATAAAAAGCAACCTCTCGAAGTATCATCAGGGTTTTTTATGACAGCTTTTGACCGAACTGCAACATATCCTCGTATGTATCGATGGGCCTGAAACTTCAAACCTGTAGCGAGGTGCAAGGGTAATATAAAAATGACTTAAAAACGTTTTCCAGAAGTTAAAGTTAAAATAGTAATATTAAACTGTATGTATATTAAATCTAAAAGCGCGGACATTCTCCTTCATCTATTGAGTATTGGAACTAAAGTGATTAAGTACCCAATTAGCAATATCATGTGCATATGATTGGTGAGATCAACTTGTCAGCCTCACAACTACACAGTGCTACGGCTCTCGATCTGGAAAATTTTATCATCCAATCTAAAAGGAATATTTTACATACAGCTTGTACTCTGATCATGAGCAGTTTTTACAAGGCAAAACAACAGACTACCACCAATATCAGCCTCACTAAATACATAGGGGTAGTACCTAACATTTTTATATAACGACAGAATAATAGCTGGAAACACGTTGAGACCCTGATCAAACAAAGTCTATGTAATAAACAGCAACTTTTCTTTGCACCTTACTGTATATAAAGAAGAAAGTTTGTCTGGCTATCTCTTTATTTGTTCGCTATACACTCAGTCCTTGAGATAGCTGGCAGGATGGAAATTTTTACGATGGTCCATTAGCTTCAGAGGGAGGTCGACATCTACTTTGCTCCGGAAAAAAGCAGTCCAACAATCTCTACAGACGAATTTACGGAACTGACCAATAGGAATGCAGGGTTTGAAAATATCGGAGCTGGCATGTAGTAAAGGCAGTCTGAGCGCTCACACATAATATCTCATATGATCTAATTAGTCTTTGGCTATCCTGGACTTTCCACGGGTAATTCAGTGTGAACTGGACAATAGGATTGCAGGGTTTCGTAACTAAAATTACTTAGAAATCATCTTAATGTTTGAAACACCATCAACTGATTCATGTGCGCAAAGGATCACGGGCATGAGAGAATTTAGCTGTAATGCAAAAACACAACAGTTATTCATAGAAAAATCTCTATAGGAATAATCGAAATAGTCTCATTATGTTTCAAGTTTAATCCTGCTAGGGATTGCGCTGAAAGGCTTTACGAAATAGTCGATAATTATCTTATTATAATACTGACTTCTTAGTCCTTGTGTTGTTGTTGCTGTTGTTGTTACTGTTGCTGTTACTGTTGCTGTTGTTGTTACTGTTACTGTTACTGTTGTTGTTAATGTTGCTGTTGTTGATGATGACGATGATGATAATGGTGATGTTGTTGTTGTTCTTGTAGTCGCCGTTGAAGCTATTTTAAAAATAATAAATCTATATATTGAAAGAAGGATATTTATCTCTCTGTCTGTTTGTTTATTCGCTATGCATTCCGTCTTTCTAATAGCTAGTGAGATGAAACCTTCCACGACGCTTACTTAGATCCTAAGAAAAGTCGACATCTACTCCGTTTTGAAAAAAAGCAGTTCAAAACGTTTTATAGGCGATTTAGAGAGCTGACCAATAGGAATGCCATGGGTGCAGAATCTGCCCTTCGACGTCAACGCGGGTTTGGGGAAATTTTTGAGGAATTATTGACTATGGACTTTTTTCTAAACAAAACTGGTAAGAAATTTCTTTTTAATTGTAAATATTATTTTATATGTAAATAGTCGATCTTCATTAGTAGAGTATTATGTTACTATATTAATTCTTTTACTCAAATACTCAGGGGAAATTTCTGACAGATTTTTTTTTGCGTTGGGGGAAATTTTTCATTTTTACGGCAGATTCTGCATCCTTGAGGAATACAGGGTTTGAAAATATCGGAGCCGGCATGTAATAAAGGCAGTCTGAGCGCTCACACATAATATCTCATATGATCTAATTAGTCTATGGCTATTCTGGACTTTCCACAGGTAATCCAGTATGAACTGGACAATAGGATTGCAGGGTTTCGTAACTAAAATCACTTAGAAAATATCTTAATGGTTGAAATACGGATTAGTAAAAATAAAAGTTGAAAAAGTAGCAGCAAAGTGCTATGTTACATTGTTGTACACTAAGAAGCTTAAAAAATCAAGTAGTTACTGTTTTCTTTGGACACGCAAAACATGTCAGGTCTCATTATCTGAATATCCACCGGGTACTTCCGCTAGTTGCTTATAAACAATTTTTTCTATTGATCTATTTGTTTAATTTTTGTTTATTTTAAAAGGCAAGACAAAAGTATTGTTTTCTTGTGTGAAAAATGCTCTTTTTTGCATCTTCGTAAAATAAGATAAAATATTTCATACTTGTTATTGTGATTGTTGTTGTTTTGATTGTCTATGAAAAATATTGAAAATAATATGTGAAAAGATAAAGATCGAATAAAAAAATCTCCAAAAGAATTAAATGGAGAATATGAGTGTTTGCAATGGTCAACAACAAAATGGCCATCACTCAATAAGGACACACGAGGTATAAAAATATCGTTGCTTATACTGCTACAGTAGTAGCATGAGTGATACTCATTTCGTTGTCAACTTTTGCAAGTAGTGATGTATTCAATGCTTTACTTTATGAATTCTTTTGGACATTTTATCTTTTGGTCTTTTTTATTGTTTACCTTTGTATCTGTAGCATCCTTTTTTGATGTTAATGCTATTGGAAGAGCGATTACCAAAATTATGATAATGGTAATCGCGAAAATCACTGACGCAATGACAATCGGTTTAAACCATCCTGATTCGCGTATGGAAGTCTTGTTGGCGCTGTTTATATGCAAAAAGAAAAAGATAGATTTTACAGCTAATGCTGATAAATGAATATAGATGTCTAATCACAAAAAAAACCATACATTTCCTTTACCCGTTAATGTCGTGTTGTACTGGCCATCTGTTTGTGCTAGCATTCGCATGATTCTGATGTGTATCGTGCCTGTACATTGGCGGAACTGACGATATGTCGGTGAAACCAAGTTCGATCCCTTCCATTATTGATTGATTCGATCGTTCCTATTGATTTAACATTAAATGTATATGAAGAAAAATGTTGGAACGGAAAGTTACTCTGACAGTTTTCTAGTTTTCAATAAATCTAGGAAGAATCTCTATGATAATTTGGCAAAAAAGCAAATGACGAAAGACTGAATCTCGGAGTTTGTCCGAAAAGTATTGAAAATATTATATTTTATCCGTACTTAAAGAGGAAAATGCAGACCTACTTTTTTCTATTATGCAATAGAATGATTTATTTAAAAGAATAGAATATTTGTCCACAGTGAAGCACTAATTTATATACGACTGTCACAAAGTAAACATGAGAAACATTTTCATAAACCAATATATCAGAGAAAGGAAAAGATTAAAAATAACATACCTTGATAATTGTTCATTGCAGTTTATTTATTCAGAAAGAGAAGGGAGAACGCAATAATAGAAACAGCAAAAAACATTAATTTTTACACTCGTGTTCGGCTTTTTAAATATTTTTAACAGAACTGCGTCACAAATATGCGCAATTGCGATAAAAAAATCACAGTCCGCGAAATTGCACTATACGCCTCGCAATTTTCGGCGACAGTGCCTCACAGTACGATCGCAACTTCGTTGAAATAGTAAAAACAGGTATATATTATATATTATGAAAAGAAAGAGTAGCTCCCTGGGTGAATATTTTTCTTCTAGCGCTTGATCAGACTTAATATGAAGATGTATCCATAGCGCATGACTTTCTGTCAAATATTCAATAGCAGAATTTTTTCCAATGTCGGAGTCAAATCGTTGGCCTGGATTGTTTGTTAGACTTTTTAAAAATAATCTGTGCCTTTACTAATAGAAATTTATTAATAATCTTTAGATGTGAACGATGAATTGTAAAAGAAAGATAGAAATTACCTCTCAAAGGTATTAGTTGAAGTAATTTCAGAATTCTGCAACGAACAAACCTGTTCTAAGCTGTTACACATATTGAACACTGAAATCTCTTTTGAGACTTTTCCATGTATCGATGTGAAGCTAGCACCAAGTAACTAAGAATTTTGTCAAAATGAATTCCTGTCTATGAAAATTAGCCTATTCGATTCAGAATTTAATTCTGAGTCTAATGGTAATATTTTTATTCACGGGTAATCGAACGAAAAAATTCCCTCAAGATTTTCTTGTATTTATGTACTTACAGAGCAAAAATTGAAAATCAAGGTAAGCTCCGTCTCAGTCGTTTGTCCGTGAATAGAAGTGGTACCGTTCGATGCAGAATTAAATTCTGAATCGATTGGACTGTTTTCCATGTACGGGAATTCATTCTGTGACAAGAGATTGCGTGCCAACTGTCGTACAATGACGCATATACATGTATAGAGGACAAATAAAATCAAAGAAAACTTTTCCCTCTCGTTTGCCCACGGATAAAAATATCACCATTAGACTGAGAATTAATTTCTGAATCGAATAGGCTAGTGTTCGCGGACGGGAATTCATTGTGACAAAATTCTTAGTTACGTGGTGCTAGCTTCACACTGATATAATTTACCACTTTTTATTTGATTCTCACGTAAAAAAATAACATTGGTTTCCACCAAAAGACTATAGATACGGTCGCGTTTATTTCTAGCTAGTCAATGTCAATAGTGATTTCTGTTTTTGCTAATGGTAAAAATAGTTCTCGATATTTTTCCGCCCCTAATAACAGCTGCACTATCAACAGCAACTAAATAATCCTTCTTTTTAATATTAAGCTAGCAGCTCTAGTGGTCGTGAAAAATTTTCAAAAAAATAGACAAACCTACTCTATTGATGGTGGTGACAAAGGTTAGAACGTGATTTAGATTTCTTAACTTTCATACGAGTCCAAAAGTCTTTTATTTATCTTTGAGAGCTTTTCTCACATATTAGCGGAAAAATAATGAAACATTTTTTAGATCGGAGTAAATTTTTTAAATTCTTAAAACAAAGGAGAGAAAGAAGAACTTTTCGTTCAAATATCAGTGAATTTATCCGACTTTTTTTTATTACAGGTTAAAGAAAAATTGAGAGCATTCTCTCGAATTAGAGACAGGTTAGGAAACATGCTTCAAATATATGACGGATATCAGAAGATTTTCTTGCAAATTGAAAGCAATCTAGAAACAACATCCTTCGAAATTGAGGGAAATCTTGGAGATATTTCCTTCGAATGCAGTATTTTGAACTATAAGTTGGCTGATGATCTTGATTTTTCCGTGCAATCGAGCCTATCCAAGCCTTTAATACATCCGAATCTGAGTCTACCCAGACCTAATGGCTCTGCCGCTTATGATTATCTCTTATACTCGCCTATTCTATCACGACCCACCGTCAGAACAAACGATGTTGTTTGAATAATCGAACCAACGATATGTTTTGAAGCTCATTGAAGGGATAAAGAAGTTCTAATTATACAAGAGATTTGCACGATTGCAAGTGATGCAANCTGGCCATCTGTTTGTGCTAGCATTCGCATGATTCTGATGTGTATCGTGCCTGTACATTGGCGGAACTGACGATATGTCGGTGAAACCAAGTTCGATCCCTTCCATTATTGATTGATTCGATCGTTCCTATTGATTTAACATTAAATGTATATGAAGAAAAATGTTGGAAGGAAAAGTTACTCTGACAGTTTTCTAGTTTTCAATAAATCTAGGAAAAATCTCTATGATAATTTGACAAAAAAAGCAAATGACGACAGACTGAATCTCGGAGTTTGTCCGAAAAGTATTGAAAATATTATATTTTATCTGTACTTAAAGAGGAAAATGCAGACCTACTTTTTTCTATTGTGCAATAGAGTGATGTATTTACAAGAATAAAATATTTGCCCACGGTGAAGCACTAATTTATATACGACTGTCACAAAGTAAACATGAGAAAAATTTTCATAAGCCAATATATCAGAGAAAGGAAAAGATTAAAAATAACATACCTTGATAATTGTTCATTGCAGTTTATTTATTCAGAAACAGAAGAGAGAACGCAATAATAGAAACAACACAAAACATTAATTTTACCCTCGTGTTCGGCTTTTTAAATATTTTTAACAGAACTGCGTCACAAATATGCGCAATTGCGATAAAAAAATCACAGTCCGCGAAATTGCACTATACGCATCGCAATTTTCGGCGACAGTGCCTCACAGTACGATCGCAACTTCGTTGAAATAGCAAAAATAGGTATATATTATATATTATGAAAAGAAAGAGTAGCTCCCTGGGTGAATATTTTTCTTCTAGCGCTTGATCAGACTTAATATGAAGATGTATCCATAGCACATGACTTTCTGTCAAATATTCAATAGCAGAATTGTTTCCAATGTCGGAATCAAATCTTTGGCCTGGATTGTTTGTTAGACTTTTTTAAAATAATCTGTGCCTTTAGCAATAGAAATTTATTAATAATCTTTAGATGTGAACGATGAATTGTGAAAGAAAGATGGAAATTAGCTCTCAAAGGTATTAGTTGATATCATTTCAGAATCCTTCAACGAACAAACCTGTTCTAAGCTGTTACACATATTGAACACTGAAATCTCTTTTGAGACTTTCCCATGCATCGGTGTGAAGCTAGCACCACGTAACTAAAAATTTTGTCAAAATGAATTGTCGTCCGTGAAAACTAGCCTATTCGATTCAGAATTTAATTATGAGTCTAATGGTGATATTTTTATCCACGGGCAAACGAATGGAAGAATTCCTTCAAGATTTTTCTTGTATTTATGTACTTATAGAGCAAAAATTGAAAATCGAGGTAAGCTCCGTCTCAGTCATTTGTCCGCGAATAGAAGTGGTACCGTTCGATGCAGAATTAAATTCTGAATCGATTGGACTGTTTTCCATATACGGGAATTCATTCTGTGACGAGAGATTGCGAGCCGACTGTCGTACAATGACGTTTATACATGTATAGGGGACAAATAAAAATCAAAGAAAACTTTTCCCTCTCGTTTGTCCGCGAATAGAAGTGGTACCGTTCGATGCAGAATTAATTTCTGAATCGAATAGGCTAGTGTTCACGGACGGGAATTCATTGTGACAAAAATTCTTACTTACGTGGTGCTAGCTTCACACCGATATAATTTACCACTTTTTATTTGATTCTCACGTAAAAAAATAACATTGGTTTTCACCAAAAGACTATAGATACGGTCGCGTTTATTTCTAGCTAGTCAATGTCAATAGTGATTTCTGTTTTTGCTAATGGTAAAAATAGTTCTCAATATTTTTCCGCCCCTAATAACAGCTGCACTATCAACAGCAACTAAATAATCCTTCTTTTTAATATTAAGCTAGCAGCTCTAGTGCTCGTGAAAAATTTTCAAAAAAATAGACAAACCTACCCTATTGATGGTGGTGACAAAGGTTAGAACGTGATTTAGATTTCTTAACTATCATATGAGTCCAAAAGTCTTTTTTTTATCTTTGAGAGCTTTTCTCACATATTAGCGGAAAAATAATGAAACATTTTTTAGATCGGAGAAAATTTTTAAATTCTTAAAACAAAGGAGAGAAAGAAGAACTTTTCGTTCAAATACCAGTGAATTTATCCGACCTTTTTTATTACAGATTAAAGAAAAATTGAGAGCATGCTCTCGAATTAGAGACAGGTTAGGAAACATGCTTCAAATATATGACGGATATCAGAAGATTTTCTTGCAAATTGAAAGGAATCTAGAAACAGCATCCTTCGAAATTGAGGGAAATCTTGGAGATATTTCCTTCGAATGCAGTATTTTGAACTATAAGTTGGCTGATGATCTTGATTTTCCCGTGCAATCGAGCCTATCCAAGCCTTTAATACATCCGAATCTGAGTCTACCCAGACCTAATGGCTCTGCCGCTTATGATTATCTCTTATACTCGCCTATTCTATCACGACCCACAAAAGTCAGGGACAAACTTTAGACAAAGCTGTAATCGATTTGAAGCTACCGAAGGATGCAGATGATATGGCTGCAGCCTATATACCATTATCACGAGTGAAACGTTCGACTGATTTACTCATTTTGCGCATCGGATTCATTTGCATCACTTGCAATCGTGCAAATCTCTTGTATAATTAGAACTTCTTTATCCCTTCATTGATTTTTTTTTAAATATAAGCGTAAACTTTCTTTTCAATTTCACTGTACGACCTGTCCAAGCGTGACGGAATCACGTTTTTTCACATAGTTTTTTCTATAATTCAACTCGTACAAGTCAGAGAACGTTGATGCTCTCGTGTATGTATGTGAGTCTTATGGCTGTACATGCTGTCAAAGTTTCGTTGAATTTCGCTTGTCCACCAAAGTTTTATGATCCGAATATATGTCTGTTGCGGAATCACCAAAAATGACCCTATGGGTTCGAGCGATGTGAAAAGAAATCAAAAGTTTAGCTCAACTAAAGGTGTGACGGGAAAACTTTCTATACAAAGGTTTTTGCTTAGGACACAGGCTATGCATAGAAGAAAAAAAATTTACAAATAGGTGGTCACTTGGCTATGTACATAGAAAAGAAGGTCGTGACGGAATCACTTTCCTCGTTACGGAATCACATCTAGAAATGTTGGTGTTCACTAAGTTTTTATTTTCTAAAAAAAATCAACATATACCATCAAGATTAAAACCGTATTCACTCGAAATTAAGAAAACATGGATAAAACTGACCTAGTGATCGAATATATGGAGGGCGTGCCTCCCTCGAAAAAAAATATACAGAGAAGTTTCAAAACCTAAACACGTATTTTTCTTCTCTTGTTGAGTACAAAGAATGTTCAATCACGTCTTGATGCAGGGCTTTGATATAATGCTGCTTTTGAATATTTGGCACACCAACGGTCTTCTTGAAAGTCTTCTCCAGTAAATGACGCGTCGCATCAAATTGAGCTTGATGGATTAGACCAACGGTAATTGTTGTTGTCTTCTTTCGACAAATAGCAACGAAATCCTTTGCGGATGAACAACGCGAACCAGCTAATACATCTAACCAGACCAGCCGTTTTAGTATGCCACCGATGGAATCCACGACACCCTTCCCATGAGACGATGCGAAATAATTCCAAGTGATGTCGATATCGAGCTTGTTCAGCATGGTTGTTAAATGTTGGACGACATAACGATTCTTAAATTGACTCGCTGCTCCATCCGAAAAGAAAAGAATCTGGTCAACGTCTGGTACCATACTAACGATTTCTTCCACAAGAATTTCCAAGCATGTGATAACAGTAAACTTATCGTGTGTGGTCGAATTTGACACGAAGCTAAACGAATGGCCTTCTTCACCACTACCACCGAACCAAGCATAAGCCGTAAATAAAGAAACTTGTTTTTTTGACCACTGGGCGGATTGTATCTGATCCTGATCTTGAAGTGTATAGTTCTCTGCGTAGTCAACTTGGCAGACTACGGTTCCATCATCTGCATTCTCTTTGATGTACTCGAAAAATTTGCTTTGCTTTCGTTTTACGAACACATGGCACAAGTATCGCGGCGTTTTCTCTTTTAACTGCTTCACGCATTTCATGACCGATCCTATAGCAAACGTCGAGCATATGTCAGAAAAAGAATGCAAAACGTGGATCTTACCGGAGAAATTTTTCTTCTCGGCACGACCATTAACCGTTGTTCATTGATACCATGTGATGATCTTTGTATCATTCACGACATTCTGAGTAACATGTTGATCGAACTTATGTTTGCATTTGTCACAACGAGACATCATACAGGATTCCTGATTTTCGTCGCATACCAGTTTTGCTGTATAAGCATGTAAATCATTGTTCAGTTGAGAAATCTCTTGGGACAAACTGTTCAAGAGAAGAATGATATTTTCATGTATAACACATAAGCAGGTTCGATGTGGTAATGTTCGTTTGTACAAAACATATTTTGGTCGCAAGCTGGCAAATGAAGAACGACTAATTGATACGTCTAATAAAACAACCAATATGGTAGAAGTAAATACACGTTACGAGAAAAATACATCAGTAGGAGCTACTCATAAACTTTTCTACTCATCATTCAGTTTGCGTTTCAGAAAAAGGATTCAATCTCCTCCACATTAATTGAGAGTCAACCCAAATAGATTCTGACTAATCGGCGTATCTTCTTACTTGGATTTTCTTCCATAAATAATGCATAAACTTCACGAATATTGAATAATAAATGTCGTTTTTGGAATTACACTCTCACTCCGTTTTGTGTAATTGTTTTGGTGTCTCGTTTACCAGGCGCTTGCCACGAAATCGAATCCAATTTATAAAAGTTTCGGACTTTGTCCGCCAATGAATCAGGTACTTGGGCTTGTGTGCGAATAAGTTTGGGTTTCGGTAAGATACCTAAACCTTGGCCAATATGATGCAGAACTTGTTTCTGTTGGGCCAGATTCTTTGGTAAAGCACGAGTCACACGTTTCACCGCTTTCGACAGCGTTTGCTTTGTGATGTATACAGAACTAAACAGAGAAAAGTATTAAAAGAGACGGGTTTTCTTTTCTGAGCTACCCAGATGGAACTTGGTTTAAGGCGTTGAGCTTTAGCTTTTTTCGATGGCGCTGTTGCGCTTGTCGATGGGCATGGAGATATGCATCTTTCTCCTGTGTTGTCATTGAAGCATTCTTCAGAGCTTTACGTTGCCGATCTTTCCGCTTCCGCTCGTTATACTTCGTTTGATTTCGCTTGAGTTTCTCGCGATACCTCTTTGCTCGTTCAGCCACAGTCTGGACCATCTCTGGATAAAATAGATAAAGTAGGAATCAAAAGTTTAAGGCACTTTTCGTCATTCAATTTTCTATATCGAGAGGCTTTCGATAGTGACATCTATATAACTATTTTGATAGCTTTCACAATAGGACATAAGACTAATAGGCTTAGGTCATAGAAGAAATGATTTTTATTTATTTAGTGAAAAAATTCTTTTTTTCCTGTGATCAAAAGTTTAAGGCTTTTTTCAAACAGCCGTCTAGTTTAAAAAAATTTTCAAAAAGTACAACTTTTGCGTACAAAAAACATAATTTTATTTCATAAGAAGTGTCCACCTTTCGCAGCTAAACACTTTTGAATACGTTCAGGCATTGATTCGACCAATTTGATACATAAATCCTGATCAATATTGTTCCATTCTTCTTCTAAACGTTCCTTCAAGGCTGTTCTTGAATAAATTGGTTTTGCAGCTAATTTTTTATCAAGAATTGACCAAAGCATCTCAATTGGATTTAGATCTGGGCTTTTCGAAGCCCAGTCAAGTACATTCAGCTTCATTTGACGAATTCTTTGCTTAACAATTTTCGAGGTATGCCAAGGAGCGAAGTCCTGTTGAAAGATTATTTTATTTTTCTTTCGAATTTTTTGAATAGATTGCTTTAATTCATGTTGCAATACATCACAGTATAAATTACTATTCATATTTTCCGTGTAAATCTTTGCTACTGTTATGCCATTACCGGAAATACCACCCCAAATGCCGACCTTGCCACCATCACCTGTATTAGTTTGTTCCAAACATTCTGGAAGAAGCTTTTCTTTGTCTAAACGCCGTATTTTGCATAGATTTTTTCGTTTTAAAACATAAAATGTCGATTCGTCAGAAAAAATCACCTTTCGCCAATCATCACATGTCCAACTTGAATACTGCTTACACCAGGCAATACGTCGCTGTCGGTGTTTGGCACTTAACCATTGCTTTTTCAACTTCACAACGTATTCATAGCCTAAATCCTTGAGATACCGACGTACTGACACCACCGAGACTGGATTTGATAAGCTAATATTTAATTCAGATGTGACCTTGCTTGCACTGAGACGAACATCACCACGAACCAGTCTCTTCAAATAACAAATATCACTACCAGTAATTTTTTTTGGACGCCCTGAACGTTTCATATCATTATAATGACCATGATTCTTGAATTTTGTGATAGCATTTTGGACACAACATCGAGATTTTCCGAGATGTGTTGAAATATCGACCTGTTTAAAACCAGCATTATGAAGGGCCACTATCTGGGCCCGAACGAAAGGGTCAACAGGTTTTCTACCCATAGATAACTTCAGTAATTCAAAGAAATCGAAGTATATTCATTAGTAGAAACAAATAATAGTCGAAAACATACTATAGGCTTTGTTCCTTAGAGAACAAAAGGCTCATTTGAAAAAAGCCTTAAACTTTTGATCACAGGAAAAAAAGAATTTTTTCACTAAATAAATAAAAATCATTTCTTCTATGACCTAAGCCTATTAGTCTTATGTCCTATTGTGAAAGCTATCAAAATAGTTATATAGATGTCACTATCGAAAGCCTCTCGATATAGAAAATTGAATGACGAAAAGTGCCTTAAACTTTTGATTCCTACTTTAGATCGTAGATTGAGAGTCAACACTAGAGATGGTCTCTAAGGTTTCTAAAAGCTTTTAATATACTTTAGTTATCAGAAAAACATTGTCTATGGTGCAACTAGATATAGACTATACGTTTGTGATAATGAATCGTTGTTTCATTGTTCGTTTAACCCACTTTTTATCTTGTATAGGAGCAACAACGGTCCGATCGGACGTCTATCTCATTTGAATTGGACTAATTAATCAAGTCACATAGTGACTTGGCAAAGAACGACAAAAATGCAGTGATGTGATTGGCAGATATGATCGGGTATACTCCTAAAGAAGAAATTGACGATGCAGTCGCAAGCATCTGTTACCACCATTCAAATAATACTGTAGCAAATAGTGTTTCATGTAAATCAGAACTTTTAATAGCTGCTCTTTGAACAACCGACAGAATCCATGAACTTTCTATGCTCCAAATGTTCGTATCAATGGATCAGGTGAAAAGAGAATCACGACTCCTTTTTAAAGAAAAGTCTTGATAAATACCTGACGGTGATTCCGTCACGCACTTCTTCCGATGCATCAAGATGTTTCAAAGGTGGCATATGAGCGTGATAGATAGTGGGTCAAAAGTTGATGTTAGCTCTCCGGTGAGCGAAGTCATCTATAACTTGATCATAGATAAAAGCGAACTGTATGGTATTTTCGTGACGGAATCACAAGTAGAAATGGATGTGGTTTCCTAATTCGAATATCATTTTCCACAAACGATGGAACTTACATCATTGTATAAACTTGATGCTCGTCGATAATCGTTTTGTATCAGACAATCAACTTTCGGAGAACTATGTTTGTTTTCAGAAATATTCAAATGTGATATTCACAAGAAAAGTTTAGGTCTCATCGTATATGTTAGACTGTTCGACAACTACTGCGCTCTCCCAGAAATAGAAAACTCAGTTTACCTTAAAAGTACCATTTCTAATGTTTGAAACTATGCTCTATAAGATGCTTGCGTCCGTTTCGCTCCATTGTATGGATGAAACTCCCCCACACAGGTGGACCGTTACGTGGACAGGTCGTGTTACATATATCTCTGACTTAAATATTAAATCATTTAATATTTATACATTTGATGAATACTAGATTACTTCCGAATGGCCACAAAATGCAGTAAATTCTTATAATAAAATATATTTAGTGATCATTTCAAAAAGATTAATGAAGTTTGAATCTTGAGCAAATATATAAGTTTGAAAAAAAACGATAAATACTTATTCACTTCTATGTGTAAGTTATTAAATATTCAGCATAAGCTTGAGCATCATGATAAGTCACGAAAATATGATTGCCATCAGTAGTTGAATCATATCCATCAGGTGGAATTTTCATTGAGGTATTACCTTTAATTGTTCTTCCAATCAAAACTCGTGCTATAAACATATGACGTTCACCTGCTTCATTTGGGCTTGTATAACCATGACTATAAGTTGCATCAGATGAAAAATAAACACCAACACCATAAACTGTTCCTGGAAATACAATAATACTAATGTAATACAGAGAAAATGAGTATTAGGTTTACCATTTACTCCCGCAAAACTACGATTGAAACAACTATTAATAATCGAAATAGTTGCCTGCTTTGGACAGCCATGATACAAACATCTTTCAGTATCTGCTCCAACCCGTGCTTCAAATCTTCTGCAATGCGCCCAGTATTGAACATACCAATGTTCATTTTGAATTCTTTCTATTCGTATTATTCTTCTATAGTTTCCTTGCATCGTTTTACTGAAATTAGTTGCAATTGTTTGATATTCACTCTCTGTACTTGATAACTCATAACGCATTTTATCTTTTTCTGCTTTTTGCCATGTTGCCGGTAGTTGATACTGAATTGATTCTTGACTATCTACAGAAGAAAAACAGCAAAATTGTCAGATTTGATCACCCTCATTTTTCCACAGAAGTACTTTTCATTCTGAATTTCTGAACTTTTACAAACGATTTACTCTTAATTCAAGTTAGACTAGTCTTTGCATCTTCTGCTCTGAAAAATGAATCATAGGTGAAAGTCATTGAAAAGAATAATATTTGTCTACAGTCAAGAAGAAAGTAATTCTCTTAAGCTCAACTAAAGTAAGGAGATCCCATAATTCTATTTTTTCTCAAAGTTGAAAACTAAAGCAGTGTATAGTGTAACACCAGCTATAATTAATGAAAGAAAAAACTAATGATACCATTTTGTGATGCTATAATTTGTTTAACAAACGTATAGTATACATTGTTTTGATTGGGTTGTATTACAAATCTCACTCTCAGAGGCAAATTTCTTTTGATCAATTGTTTTTTAATTTCATCCACCATCGTTTCGACCACGATATCTACAGAACACCCATGTCGTCCACATCCAAGGGCTGGAATTGCAAAAGAGGTAAAATTATAAGAGATCGCATATTGTACGACAGTCCAAACTAAATCAACAAGAGATTGTCGAAGTAGTGCCTGATCGTTATCAGGTTGCCATTTGACGAAAAAAATCCGTTTGCACGGTAAAGCACCTGACGGCGTTGAGATCAATATACTGTTTGGATTATTCTTGTATTCTTTATTATAAAACCTTTCAACCTCATCTCCGGCTGCTTTTATAATTGCTCCTTTCAAAATATTGGATGATGAGCTTCCTATAATGGCGTGTACCTATTAAATATGGAAGATTACGTTTTTATGTGCTTAAACAGGAACTTCTATAAGTATATACCCTTTGCTTTGTTATATCACCTTTTATAACTTCAATCATCCCTTTATTAATACATGCAGTCACTTTTGTTTGTGGTTCTTCTGGTTGTAGCAGAGGTGATGATGGACGTTTTAGCTTTCTTGACAAGGGTGGCGGTAGTAGTGATTTTAGTGAGAAAAGCCATGATGGCCCTCTTGATGAAGGTGGCGGGATTGGTGGTGGTGGTAATGATGAACGTGATAACCTTTTCGGTACATGAGGTTGCCTTGTTGATAAGCGTGGCGGGATGGTTGGTGGTGGGTGTGAGGGTGGTGGTGGGTGTGAGGGTGGCGGTGGGTGTGAGGGTGGTGGCGATGATGAACGTGATAATCTTTTTGATGCGTGAGTTTGCCCTTTTAATAAAGGTGGTGGGTGTGAGGGTGGTGGCGATGATGAACGTGGCGCCGTAATAAAGCGTTGTGATCCTTTACTTGAGTGTTCGTAGAGAGGAAAGTGCACTAGTGAAGTAGAAGAGGAACGAGATAATCTTGCGATTGCGCTTCTTGGTGTTGCTGGGGGCGATGGTGATGCTGATGAGGAAGGTGAAGATACTGGAGATGACAGTCTGTCAATCTGCTTCTCAAACTCTTGATATGTACTAGTTTTTCCTTCTTGTATGACAAACAAAACCGAAAGAGAATATTCCTGTAACATTCGATGTGCCTCTTGAACCATAGCTTCAGCGACAAAGCTGGCTTGACATCCGAACCAACCACAACCAATGGCAGGAAATGCAATACTTTCGTAATTATCTTCCACCGCTCGTTGTATACTACTGGAAACAAATTTTTCGATAGATTGTCGAAGAAGGACTGCATCTGAACTCTTTTGCCATGGAAGAAAATAAACCATTTTCGATTTGAGTTTGCCGTCAGCCTTAACTGCAACGATAGAACAGTTAGGATCTCGTTTGGACTCAGCATCAAAAGATGCTTGGAACGATCTTCCACCAGCTTTGCAAATCACTCTACATAAATATTCCGATGAAGAACATACAACGATAACATCCACCTACATGTATTAGTAGATACATTCGTGACGAATAAATATCTTATTTAAATCACTCACTGGCTCCTTTGTCAAGTCACCACTACAGACATTGATCGATGTTTTTGCACCCTGTAATATAGAAGATCCAATTTTATATGTAACAATAAGAATGAATCTGATAAGAGATCTGCCAGGTAATCAAAAGAGCTACGCACTTTCTATACTTATAAGTTATACTGAAGTTGCAATCAGTAATGAAACTATTATACCAGATTTCAGTACATTGTTCAAAGATAAAACGACAGACCTAAGTATGAAAATGTCTTTTTTGTTTTATATGGACGAAGTATAAATAATGATAATTTTCGATAACTTTCGTTCGGGCCACTTTTATTCGAATCTTAATATATAAATTTCATAACAATATTCTCTATACTATAAAAATCTTTTTTCAAAAATTTATTTTTACTTTTTCATAATAATTTGAATTGTAAAAAGTCTTAACTTACAATATGTGTTCGATATTTGTAGCCTATTAAATATCGTTTCTTTACGGTTTTATTGTGAAAAAACTCTTATCAGGGTTTTTCTGAAAGCATTTCAAACATAATTAAGGGTGGGGNCTGGAATAAACTAGAGCTCAATCATAAATACTTTTAGAAGAATGTGTGCCTAGTAACTTTTTTTGTTCAAAAGATGATCAAAGGTGAACACTTTGGGCTTCTGCTCGTCGTCGAGCACTTCCAATAATGATCACAGATGTCCATTTAACGGTTCTTCGAGTTGCTTGTAGATCGATTGAGAGTATTCTTAAGTTTTTCTTCTATTGGGATGCTTGGCTAAACGCATGTGTCGCAATCGAACATGCTGTTTCTGTTTATCAAGGAGTCAGCTTTAATATAGATAAAAGTAAACATCTAGCTTGATGGATCCTATTTCTTCTACCATTTTGCATTATGATCACAATTATTCATGAACCACTTTATCGGCGAATCTTTGTACATAAAATCAAGGAAGAAAAGTCAATCGATGAATTGAAAGATATATACGAAATAGTCGTGACAGGTTTATATAGGTGGTGTACCACCTTGTATTCTCAATCAGTTCAGGATTATAATACTACAATTTTATTTATTCATCTTCTTGACCCATTTATTGTAAATCTTTTCTCTGCTGTAGTGATCATTATTGGAAGTGCTCGACGACGAGCAGAAGCCCAAAGAAGTCAAACTTATTTAGAACATCTTCGTGAACAACGGAAAGAACACAAACAACTTATTATCAGTTCTGTGTTCAATATTTACAATTTCATTTTGTTTCCTGAATAAAAAAATATAAAGTCATTAAATTTTGTACACATATATTCTGGCAAGGCAGAAACGGAGCAAAACGTGCTTGTGAATCATAAGAACGACATCTACAGTCTCATTCTAAGGAACATCATCGGTACTGTGTAACGTGTTTGGTTGCTAATTGTAATAGTAATGAAACTGATATTAGAACAACAACATTGACTGGAATAAACTAGAGCTCAATCATAAATACTTTTAGAAGAATGTGTGCCTAGTAACTTTTTTTGTTCAAAAGATGATCAAAGGTGAACACTTTTCCTGGTTTCGATATTCTTGAATAATTCGAATGAATGAATAAATATATTTAACGAGTACTCAGAAAGACTTGCGTTGATGAGTATAATGAATTGCTTTTGAGAGTAAGCATATACGTATGTTTTCGTCTTGTTAATGTTGTCTACGTTCTGGTAGAATCAATTCTAGACAGATGCAATAAATGAGTAAAGTTAAGTTTGAAGGATCATGAAAATGTGAACTACCGATGTTTTGAAAACGGTTCTTGTGTTGTGAAAAAATAAATATTCATTTTATATATGTGAGCGCAGGCAAACCTCCTCTCATTGTCTACTTTCCTTCTGTAATATATTCCCAAACTACAATTTAAGTTGCTGATTTTCCTCTGATATATTGTTATAAACCATGTAGATTCGTCACATAACTTTCTCTTACGTATTTCTTTACTGCGTTTTAATTCAAATCTGGACTTGCAAACAAATTACTTTTCAACAATCTTATATGAAATTGTAACTAAATTAATGCATTAATCTTGAAAGAGAACGATCATATTCGTTTCCAAAAGCAAAAAATATTTTATTCATAAATATTTTAAAGAAAATTCGAATTGTTTCTAAACATGTGAACATGTTTGTCGCATACAGATAGAAAAAGTATATTTTATATCTCTCTTTCAACAGAAAAATAAGAGATGAGTCAATGCAGTTTTATGCATGAAGTAGAACACCAACATTATTATCACCTTTGTTGACAACAACAATATCAAGTTGGCTGTCATTATTAACATATGCAACTTCCACTGTCCATGGACCAGAACCAACTGTGCAAACAATTTGATTTACAAACGTACCATTTCCAACATTACGAAGAATACTAACACTGTTACTGCCTTGATTTGCAGTAATAATATCAGGTTTA